GTAGGCCTATGTTTTTTCTAGTTCAACTTTTTCCCCCCGAAACCAAGAATATTTGTAATCAAAGACTGCTAGCTACAGCTATGAGTGAAAAAGCATGAAGGCATACTAGAAGCAGTGGCGGAACTAGAAAAAAAGGGCCACCCCGCAAAAAAAAATTTCTGGGCCCCCCTATATATATATATATATATATATATATATATATATATATATATATATTTTATATATATATACAAACATTTGATACTCGTTTCTGGCCTAATCAGGTTTTGGGTAAAATGTATTTTTTTTCTCAATTTAAACAAATTACACATGTCTTGCGTGTGAGTGCATTAGTTTATTTTGAATTATTTTTTTTTAAAGTAAGACTCTAGAACTAATTTTTTTTCTGGAACTATTCAATATGTTTGCTGTAAAAGGTCAAAGGAAGATAAAGCGTGAAAGCTTTGAATTTGTAATGGTTTCTCGTGTTATGTTTATTTTTTTTTCTTTTGTATTTATATTATTTGTTTTAAATATATTTCCTTCTTATGCTATCTCATTCTTTAGTAAGTATTTTTCAAAAAAATAATAATGAAGAGAAGCAATTGCTTTTTAATTTGTTTAGTACAAATATATTAATAGGAGCTAATGAGCACCCCCATTTGACTATTTAGAAAAGGGAAATAAGTCATGGAACGTTTGCCTATCTTACACACTACATCTAAGGCATTTTTTTACGCAACATCATGTGTTAGCTACTGTATAACATAACTACTGTAGTAGATATGTTTGTTATTTACACACGCTTTTACCGTCAAGTCAAAAATGCAAGAAAATTATTTTTTTTAACTATATAAAATTAATTATGGTCGTCTATGGGCCCCTAAATGGCGTGGGCCCCCCCGCATTGCGGGGTCTGGCGGCACTGTAGTTCCGCCCCTGACTAGAAGTTGATTCTGAAATATGCTTATTATTAAAGTCCTATACCCATTTTTAAATTCCATTTTTGTATAAACAACATATGTAAATGAATGAATGAGTGTGTTTGTTTGTTTTCTATGTATTACTGCAACTTTCATCAGATCGCCATGAAATTTTGTGAGGTTGTTGAGATTACTGCTGGTAAGGTTTATGCGATTTAATAAGTATATAATTTTTGTGAGCGGCGCCCTGGCTGTAGAGAGCGGTAGGGCGCCCATAGTTTACCAGCGACTATCTATTCTTAGCACCTGGGATTAGTTGATTGGGCGTCCTGCACAAGGGGGGGGGATAGACTTAGGGCGATGGTTTCATAGAGCGCCCCTCGACGCCACTGACAACTGGGAGTCGCGTTGCAAGTATAGTGTACAAAGCCGCGCCCCAACAACTAAAATCCAAGAAATACATAACGCTGGCTTTGTTCACATTTAAGTTACCCCGTTTTAGAAAATGATGTCATGCTTCTAATAATACTCGATTGGCAGTGTATTAACGAAACCCTTATAAAACGTTTCCTCGCTCTGGTGCGTTGGACAAGATTACAGCAACGTGGGACGGGCACGCTAGGTCATAATATTTAGTGAAAAACAAATTTACTGCAGTAAATTATTTATTTAAAAATATAAATAAACAGACTGCAAATTTTTATAATGATTTATTAAGAACAGCTTACTGCTAAAAGGGGTTTTAAAAAATTAAAAAAAATTAAAAATAATTGTATTAATATAGGACACTTTAGATCAGGGGTTCCCAACCCTTTGCCCGCGGGCGCTATGGCGCCCGCTGAACGATTCCTATGTGCCCGCCTCTCACTATTCGACAGAGACAGAATTTTTTTCATAAACATTATTTTAAAATGTGATTTATTTTTATTCATATGTTACAGTTATAATTTTTTTTTGACTGCCTAGGTTTATTAAATATGTTCGATACTTGTCCCAACTTGTCTAGCGGCGAGCCAGACTGCACTATTTACACTAGCCTGGAACGGCTAGTGTCATTTGAATCATTTTTCGGTTCGACATATTTATGCGAATCATTGTTTTCAAACATGAACTTAATAAAAATCAAGATATAGATCTCGACTCACCGTTGAGCATCTCTATGATTGTCTGCTAACAGGATTATCGTCATACGCTCCTAATTATGAAGCTCTGGCCAATGAAATGCAATGCCAAAGATCACAAACATTGACTTTATTATATTTTTTAATTAAATGTTTTCTTTGTATTTATTTGTTTTGTTTACTTTCTTTACGTTTTGTAAATACATTTCTCTGTGTGTGTGCAATTTGAAAAAAAAACATTTTTGTTTATTATTTATTAATACACTATGACTATAAGAAAATAAGAAAAAAGAAAATAAATTATGGTAAATGACAAGTTATGGAAGGAGTTTGTCGATTAAAATAGGTGGTGCTCGCCACCCTACCGATATTTTAGAATGTGCTCTAGAGTAAAAAAAGGTTGGGAACCCCTGCTTTAGATGAACCTAAAATGCTTAGGTAAAATTTAATATTTTACCCTTTATTTAAAAGTATGTAGCAGAAACCTGATTATATATTTTTATGTGGTTTAAAGTAAATTCACTCATGCAAACATTTTTAATAAAAAAAAATGCAATCCCTAAGCGCAGAGGCGTATCCAGGTTTTCGTTGTAGGGGGAGCGAAAAGAGTAAAAAAAGGCGCCGAATTTTTAACACGTTCTATATACGTGTATTATATATATATATATATATATATATATATATATATATATATATATATATATATATATATATATATATATATATATATATATATATATATATATATATATATATATATATATATATATATATATATATATATATATATATATATATATATATATATATATATATAATTACTAGCTGTATGTCATTGCGCTATGATGTAAAATTAATTGGAAGTAGCACTCTGAAGAAATAAGAAAAAACACACAATGTAGGCCGACAAAACAAAAATTGTATCAAGTTAAACAAAAAAAAAAACCAAATATACACACACTACAACCAAAAACAATGAACCTAACACAATCTGTTTTGTAATTCTTGTGCAAAAAATTTCTTACATAATAATTCCTGGGAAATTATTTACGACAAGTGAAATAGGGGAAATAATCACTCTCTTAATATAAATAATTATATATCTACATATATAATTACAAATATCAAAACAAATAAATAATTACTTTAGAATATAATATAATTGTTCAACACTATTCGTGTTTACAAAATGTTTTTGTCTATAATCATAATTTAATATATCGTCATTGTAAATGCTAAAGTTTTACAACATAATGAAAGTTCTTAAAATCAGAGTTGGTATAAAACCACGCTTTTCGTTATAATAGAAAATTTACGGAATATCATCCTACATTTAACTAAATATCGGTCTTTAAGTTCAGATCATATATTTTTAATTAAATACTGCTTCATTGTGTTCTTTGAAGATCATTTTTTAACATAGTGATAGGTATGGGTTAGATCCATGTATTGATCACACACCTCTTTACTGGTAATTGCAAAAACAATATTCACAGAGTTTTACGTTTAAAAAGCTAATTTTCTGGCGACATGGTACTTTGGTACATCATTACGCGTTTTTTTTTTACATGTACTTAACAGATCAGTTCGGGGTTGGTTAGGGGGGGCGGTTCAACTTCATTCACCACTGTCCGGTCACTTTAGGTCAATTATCCAACCCAGTGTATACCTAGGTGTGACATTAATGTCGCTCTCCACAATTGTGGTGGTGAGGTGTGTGGCGTGGGGGGGGGGGGGAGGGGGGAGATAACCAACTCAGAGTGAAAATAGCGTCAGTTTTTAGATGACTGTGCTAAACATACATATATATTACATATATATTACACAAATATATATTACAGAAATAGATTTAAATAAGTAGCAGTGGTATTATGACAATATTTTTTTACAGAGGGGTCCATGGAGGAGGGGGGTTGTAACTGTTTCATATAATTTGTAATTGTAATCACTATCGCCCAAACTGTAAGAATACTACTACTTCATCGTGATGACATTGTTGACCTTGTCAAAATTTCCCCACCACTACGCAGTTTGCCCATAAGTAAATTTAAATAGAGGTGCCACATCAGTTGTATTTGTTTCTGTAATGTAATCTTTTAAAAATTAATCACACGATTCAAACTGTATATATAAAGTAATTATGTGTGAAGTTTTATGTATAACATTTTCTAAATCAATTATTCGTAAGCAAATACATTATACATTTGCCTTAAACTTAACACCCCTCTTGCCAAGTGGTACTACTCGTAGAGGTTTTTTAAACATTGGAATGCATCGTAATGGTTATTTTTAGAATGGCAAACTGATGCAGCTGTTAATACGTGTTGTAAACGTAGACACTACTAGACTAGTGCAATAATGCGTAATTGCTGCATGAAAAGAAATCTTGTGATTTACATAGATGTGCCTATCAAAAATATTTTTTTAACAAATATCATTGTTTAAAACTTTGAGTTTAAAAAGTTTCCAAAAAGGCGCCACTTTGCTGAAAATGGCCAGAGGGGGAGCGGCCGCTCCCCCTGCTCCCCCCCCTGCGTACGCTACTGCCTAAGCGAATGATAACGTTTTTAATTAGCTTATCTTTAAGAAACAAAAAAAAGAGTGCAATAAAGTCTATTATATAAGGACTCGTTATGTGTCAAGTTTTATTGTTAGTATTTCTATGGTATAACTAAGAATTATTCTTATAAATGTGCATATATATATATATATATATATATATATATATATATATATATATATATATATATATATATATATATATATATATATATATATATATATATATATATATATCAATAAATAAATAAATAAATATATATATATATATATATATATATTTATTTATTTATATATATATATATATATGTATATATATATTTAAACTTTATAACCATTAATCTTAACTCCAGCCTTAACCATAAACTTTGGTCTGTTCTGTTAATCCAGTCCTTTACTGTTTCATCTATGAGCAGAAGACAATGCTGACCCTAACTCTGTTGACCGTCGTAGCCCTCGGGCTGGTGGGTGCCAGACCTGCAGATAAGGAAGTGAGTTGTTTGTTTGACCTGTTTTGTTTAACCCTAAACTTGGTTGTTTTGTTTGACCCTAAACTTTGATTTTGACGATAAACTTTGTCGTTTTGTTTGATACTAAACTTTGTTGTTTTGTTTGATACTAAACTTTGTTGTTTTGTTTGTGAAATATTCTATGAAAATAATATATACTGTGTACAATGATATGTTCAGTGTACATTAAAGAATGTTAACTATTGCGTTCATAATATTGTTTCTAGAAAAATTAATATCAACGCAATTATTAACATTTCTACAACAGATTCAACCTCAATTGTATTTGTCTGTAATAATATTTAACATTAAAAAAGCCAAATGACGCTCATACTATTATGCTTATAGATGCAATAAAAAATACAATAAATGAAACTATCTTTTGTAAAAGCTTTAACAGATAACCTAAGCTATAGCCAGCATGAACTGTTGATATGTACATAGACATACAGCGACAATTTTTGTAATTTTGAAGAAAAACATTGACTGTATCTGGTTTCATAGAATCTTTGTACAATAAATTCTAAGTACAGTGTACTATGCATGTACAGTGATATATTCTGTGTACAATATTTTCTTCAGCGTTCTTAGTTGAGTTTATGTTGGAGGATTTAAACAACAAGTCCAACTTCGTGTATGAACTGGACTATGATCTCCAGATCTGCGTATGCCCATATAGTTTTTCCTTGAGTCTATATATAATTATTGTACATTGTAAAATATTAATAATGGCGTTTATCTTCTTTCTAGACGAAAAACTTGGACTTGTCACAGATTCTGCAACAGTTTCAATATCCAGTTTTGTCGGTAATAAAATTTTACAGAAACAAAGACAAAAGACGTTTATACTATTATGATTATAAATGCAATAAAAATAATAAATGAATCTCTTTTTTTTGTGAAAGCTCTAACGGGTAACCTAGACATCATGAACTGCTAATGTGTACATAGACATACAACGACATTTTTTGTAATTTAGAAGAAAAACATTATAACTGGTCTTAATATTTTTTGTGTACAGTAATTTATGCTGTGTACAGTAAATTTTATGTAATTGTAATATACTTAATATAGTGTGATATTCTGTGTACATGATTTAAATAGTCTACATTGTAGGATGTTAACAAGGGCGTTTACCTTTTTTTCTAGAGAAAAAACGTGAACTTGACGCAGATTTTACAACAGTTTCAACCTCAACTAGTTTTGTCGGTAATAATATTTAACAGAAACAATGACAAAATTAAACGAAGTTTTTACTATAATACTATTAACTGCATTTAAGATAGAAAAAAAGCACTCTTCATTAAAACATTGATCATTTTATATTCTAAGTAAAGCAATATACGTTGTTTCCACTGATATATCCTTTTTAAAGTTATATATTTCGTGTACAATGCTATATTCAGTGTACATTTCAGAATGTTAACAATGGCTTTTTTTTTCACTTTTTTTCTAGAGAAAAAACTTGGACTGGTCACAGATTCAACAGACCATAAGTCAAATTTATTCGGTAATAATATTTAACAGAAAGAAAAACAAATTACGTTTATACTATTATGCTTTTAAATGGATTAAAGATAAGAAAAGCTCTCTTTAGTAAAAAAATTTCGCCGCTTAGCTGTGCCACAGATTAAACTAATCTTAAGGAAAAAAAAGTTTTTATTATTTCATAACGCGTTTTTTAAAGACAAATCCTCTAGTTCAAGTAATTTTTTGGATATGTTTATGATACTTTCGTTTTGTAATTGTGAATATTGGTATTATATTACCATATTGACAAAATCTGTTTAAAGTGTACTATTCTCTGCACTATTGCACTGTTACATTCTGCGTACAGGGCTATACTTTGTGTACATATATATATATATATATATATATATATATATATATATATATATATATATATATATATAATGTGTTCAGTTATTTATTTTTCATATAATATAAATGTTAACGATGGCGTTTGTTTTCTATCATCAAGAAACGAAACATCGACTGGTTAAGTCTTTTGAATTCTGGCATAAATATATTGGTAATAACATTTATTAATCAACTAGAAGTAACCTTTATAATAATTTTTTTATTGCACTGATGATAAGTAACTCTTTAGTAAAAGCTTACACCAATGTGTAGGTATAGAAAAGAAAGAATTTAGAAGAAAAACATTAACTGTAACTGGTATTCATATATTCTGTGTACAGTAATTTATGCTGTGTACAGTAAATTCTATGTGAAGTGTTATATGCTTAGTACAGTGATATATTCTGTGTACCATGATATAATAGTGTACATTGTAGAATGTTAACAATGGTGCTTATCTTTTTTTTCTAGAAAAAAAACGCGAACTTGACCCAGATTCCACAACAGTTTCAACCTCAGCTAAATGTGTCGGTAATAATATTTTAAAGAAACAAAGACAAATGAAGTTTATACTATTATGCTTCTAACTGCATTTAAGATAAGAAAAGCCCTAAAAAGTAAAAGTTTGATCCGCTTAATTTTTCAGATAATGTTTGGACGCGCTGATGCCATTATTAGTCGTGTATTTTAAAAATCTATGTGCAATGATATATTCAGTGTACTTTGTAGAATGTTAACAATGACGTTTACCCTTTTTTTTTCTAGAGAAAAAACGTAAACTTGACGCAGACTCAACAACAGTTTCAACCTCAGCTAAATGTATCGGTAATAATATTTAATAGAAACAAAGACAAATGTCGTTTATACTATTATGCTTCTAACTACATTTAAGATAAGAAAAGCCCTATTTATTAAAAGCTTGATCCCGCTTAATTTTTTATATATATTTTGGACGCGCTGATGCCATTATTAGTCGTGTATTTTAAAAATCTATGTGTAATGATATATTAAACGTACATTGTAGAATGTTAACAATGACGTTTACCCTTTTTTTTCTAGAGAAAAAACGTAAGCTTGACGCAGACTCAACAACAGTTTCAACCTCAGCTAAATGTATCGGTAATAATATTTTAAAAAGAAACAAAGACAAATGAAGTTTATACTATTATGCTTCTAACTGCATTTAAGATAAGAAAAGCCTTATTAAGTTAAAGTTTGATCCGCTTAATTTTTCAGATAATTTTTCGACTCGCTGATGCCCTTATTAGTCTTGTGTTTTTAAAATATACCATGACACATTTATTCTTTTCAAGATTTCTTTGTGTTTTGGTTAGCACAGTAATAAAACAGTTAATATCTTTATTTTAAAACTAAGGTATTTGTACATAGTTTTGGAATAAGAAGAATATTTTTTTGTAATTTTGAAACGACGTATTGTACATAGCTAGCACTCATCTAGTCCGTGTAAAGTAATTGATTCTGTTTATAATGATATATTCTCTGTACAGCGATATATCTGGTGAACCTTAATCTTTATAACGTACATTGATATATTCTGTAAGCAGTGAAATTTCTAAGTAAAGCTATATATTCTGTGTCCACTAATATATTCTGTGTACAATGATATGTCTGCGTAAAATGATATAATTTGAGTACAACGATATATTCAGTGTACATTGTAGAATGTTAACATTGGCGTTTATCTTTTTTCTTTCTAGAGAAAAAACGTGAACTTGACGCAGATTCCACAACAGTTTCAACCTCAACTAAATGTGTCGGTAATAATATTTTAAAGAAACAAAGACAAATGAAGTTTAAACTATTATGCTTCTAACTGCATTTAAGATAAGAAAAGTCTTATTAAGTGAAAGTTTGATCCGCTTAATTTTTCAGATAATTTTTCGACGCGCTGATGCCCTTATTAGTCTTGTGTTTTTAAAATATACCATGACACATTTATTTTTTTCAAGATATCTTTGTGTTTTGGTTAGCACAGTAAAAAAACAGTTATTAGCCTTATTTTAAAAAATAAGGTATTTGTACATAGGCATGGAATAAGAAGACAATTTTTTTTTGTAATTTTGAAACGACGTATTGTACGTAGCTAGCACTCATCTAGTCTGTGTAAAGTAATTGGTTTTGTATAAAATGATATATTTTCTGTACAGCGATATATCTGGTGAACCTTAATCTTTATAACGTACCGTGATATATTCTGTAAGCAGCGAAATTGCTAAGTAAAGCTATATATTCTGTGTCCACTAATATATTCTGTGTACAATTATATGTTCTGCGTAAAATGATATAATTTGAGTACAACGATATATTCAGTGTACATTGTAGAATGTTAACATTGGCGTTTATCTTTTTTTTCCTAGAGAAAAAACGTGAACTTGACGCAGATTCCACAACAGTTTCAACCTCAACTAAATGTGTCGGTAATAATATTTTAAATAAACAAAGACAAATGAAGTTTATACTATTATGCTTTTAATTGCATTTAAGATAAGAAAAGCCCTATAAAGTAAAAGCTTGATCCCGCTTAATTTTTCATATTTTTTTTTGATGCGCTGATGCCATTATTAGTCGTGTATTTTAAAAATCTATGTGTAATGATATATTCAGTGTACTTTGTAGAATGTTAACAATGACGTTTATCTTTTTTCTCCTAGAGAAAAAACGTGAACTTGACGCAGATTCTACAACAGTATCAACCTCAACTATATTTGTCGGTAATAATATTTTACAGAACAAAGACAAATGAAGTTTACACTATTATCTATATATATAATTCTCTTCTGGTAGACGCTAGAAAACAAGCTGTAAGCGCGCTCCCTACCACCCCCACCCCTACATGGTCTGGTGAGCTGTGGTTCACGCTAAATGTTTACAAGCAGAGCCGGGTTTAGTGACGACTCTTAGGGGCAAATAATTTAGTTTGAAACGATTTTAAACGTGGGGGGGGGGGGGGGGTAACTAAGTGGAGTTTACTTTAACGGAGGGGGGGGGGGGAGGAGGGGGGGGGGGTTATCGTCCTTAACGAGCTACTTATAGTGTTATAAAGAAATATTTTCAGTGGCAGCGTTGGTACTGTCAAATTCACAAATTATGAATTACTGAAAAGTAGAAAAAATAGCGGCGTATCATATGCCGCGGGTCGGCTCGTTCTATTAATTGCATTTAAGACGATGTATTGTGTGTACTTTGTAGAATGTTAACAATGGCATTTATCTTTTTTTTTCCTAGAGAAAAAACGTGAACTTGACGCAGATTCTACAACAGTTTCAATATCCAGTATTGTCGGTAATAATATCAAATAGAAACGAAAATTAATACAAAAAAAACAATATACTATTATGATTTAAAATGCATTAAAGATAAGAAATACAATACATAATAATGCGTGTCCAGTGATATGTTCTGTGTACAGAAATATATCTTGCGTACAATGATATATTCTGTGTAGAATGATATATACTGTTTACATTGATATATCCTATGAACAAAGATATATTTTGTGTACATTGATATCCTTTGTACGGTGGTATATTCTGTGTACAGTTATACAATATGTGTATACTGTAGCATGTTAACCATGACGTTTATCTTCTGTCATTCAGAGAAGAGGCTTACTTGACTACTTGACACCAGAACAGATTTCACTGCTTGGAATTGTATCGGTAATTTTCATTTAACAAAGAAATATAAATAGCCTTTATAGATATAAGCTTATAAATGCATTGAATATCAGAAAAACATAGAAGAAAAAGTAGCGCGGGTCACTATATTATCGATTGGATACTTTTACTAATATTTAGCAAGAGATCCACGCTTTTGATTATAGTAATTTATTAAACAGTATTAATATATATAATATTATAATTCGTTTAAAGAAAATAATTTTTTTTCATTTTTATTGCATTATTACATAAAAGCTTGTTATTAAACGTTTTTTTATGCAATGTTTATTCAGTACTTTAAAATTTTTAAAACAAGAGAATTGACTGACAAATAACTATTACGCACCTAATGAACATGATCACGTTCGTATAATAATAATAGTAGTAGTGAGACAGACTACTAATTTCAGAAAATCTAATTCATAAAAAAATTAAATTAATTAGGCATCCAATTAAGTCAAATTTGATGTCAGATTAAATTGTCTTCAAGTCTTGACCCACGTGCCAACTTTAAAACGAATCTGTCAGTTAGAAGTGCCCGAAATTTTGCTCGCTCTTTTCGATCTATGACGACAGACTGACTGTCCACAGACTGCGACAGACAGAGGAAGGAAGTTAAATTCAAGTTTTTAAAATAATTAACAACAAAACTAGTTGCCATCTTTGGATATTTATATCGGAAAGCACTAAAGCAAAAAATTTCTAGAATATAGTTATTTTTTTTTAAATTAGGTACAAGTACATATTCATAAAAACAAGATTTTTTAATTTGTAATTTGGAAAAGAAGCATTGACTGTAACTGGTCGTCAGATGTTCCGTGAAAAGTGATATATACTGTGTACAGTAATATGCTCTGTGTATAGATATATTCTGTGTACTGTGATAAATTTTTTAGTGATATTTACGGTAATATACTCTGCTTAAATTAATACAATTTCTGCAAATTGATATATTCTGTGTACAGTAATATATTATTTGTACATCGAATACAAATAATAGAGATATATTCTGGGTACAGTGAGTACACAGACTAGATATATATTCTGTGCACAGTAATAAATTCTGGATATATTCTGTGTACAGTGATATATTCTGTTACAGTGATATATTCTGTGTACTGTGTAGAATGTTAACAATGGCGTTTATCTTATGTTTTCTAGAAACGAAACATTGACTGGTCGGTGTTACTTCAACCTCAACTTCTGGCTTCGGTAATAATTTATATAATTAATATTTAACAAAACAAAGACAAATAGCCTCTATAAAAATAAGCTTTTAAATTTATTAAAGGTGAGAAAATCTCTCTGTATGTACAGAAATATAACCGTGAAATATTCTGAATATGGTAATATATTCTGTGTACAGTGATATATTTGTTTTTGTGATATATACGGTAATATACTCTGCTTAAAGTAATATATTTTCTGTAAATTGATATGTTATGTGTAAAGTGCTATTTTTTATGTATACTAATATTTTCTGCTTTTAGTGATATATCCTGTTTGCATCGATATAATCTGTGTACAGTAATATATTCTGTGTACAGTAATATATTCCATACACAGTGATATATTCGGTGTACAGTGATTTTTGTGACCATGATATATTCTGTGTACTGTATAGAATGTTAACAATGGCGTTTATTTTCTGTCTTCTAGAAAAGAAACATTGACTGGTCGGTGTTACTACAACCTGAACTTCTGGCTTCGGTAATAATTTATATAATTAATATTTAACAAAACAAAGACAAATAGCCTATATAACAATAAGCTTTTAAATTTACTAAAGATGAGAAAATCTCTCTTTAGTAAAAGCTTCGGTCGATCAACTATGACAGAGATTACATTAGCGAACAATACTTATACGAAAGAAAGGAAATTGAAACCGTTATAAATAATAATGTTATAAATGCATTGAATATCAGAAAATATTTCCTTTGCAAAAGTTAAGCCGTAGAATTCATGAGCGAACAATGTATTTTTTTACTTAAGTATCAAAATTAGTTTTTCTTGTTTCGCTGCAATGTAGGCCTATAAGACAAAGCCTATTTAGTTTCTCGTATAAGGAGTATAAAAGAAATATTGTAGTCGTGCAAAAAATTAAAATCGAGATTCGAAAATCTCGACGTTTTACTACTCTCTGAGTTGGAAATTCTTATTATTATCATTCTTTCTGTATGTAAATACGATAACTTGAGTATCGTTTCAGCTATATTATATTGTAGTTTTCTATCAAAGATTTCCGGTAAACGGAAGTGGGACTTACATTACTTTCGGTTTCTCAAAATCCTATATCTTGATTTTTTTAAAAAGTTAGGTTAATAGATCTTATTCTCTGGTGTCTTTTAAATTTTGAATGATTTCAGTCGATTGAAAGTAGTACTAAACGCTTTTTCCGCTTTTTGAAAAACAAATACATGAAAAATGTATTGAACTTTATTCATTTCGCACAAAATAAGCCAAAAAAAAAAAACAACAACAAAATAACTAGTGAATTTGTAAACAATAAACAGATCTATTACAACTAACACACTATTGCATAGACAAAAAACTACATGAGCTGAAGTGTGAAAGATAAGCAACCGTTTAAACCTCCTCCATAAATTATCGCCCGAAAAGCTCATTTTAATATTTTGTGCTAAACAAATGAAAAATACATTTCTTCTTAATTATTATTAAATGCATCATACTAAAGAATAAAGAAAGGTATAAAAAGGAGTGTATTCAAAAGTAATAATATAAATACAAAACAACATCAGAGGGAGATTTTTTTTTGTTCCGCAATTGTATTTACTTATTTGTATTTATTTATAATTTTGAAATATAAACATCGTCTGTAACTGGTCGTCATTTATTCTGTGTACAGTGACGTATTCCATGTACATTACATTTTGTGTACGGCGATATATTTTGTATGCAATGATATATTATGTGTACATAGATGTATCCGGTGTACAATTAATACTGTGTACAGAGATATATCCTGCGTATAGTGGTATATTCTGTGTACACTGATATATTCTGTGTACAGTGATATATTATGTATAGAGTGATATATATTTTGTGTACAGTGAATAGTGAGCAGAGTTATACCCCGTGCACAGTGATATATTTTGTGAAAAGTGAAATATTTTGTATTCAGTTATATATTCTGTCTTAGGTGATTTATTCTGTGTAAAGGTATATTTTAAATTTTTTATGTTGATATTTTCTGTTTACTCTAATTCAGTGTTATATTCTTTGTACAATGATCTTTTGTTTGTACAGTGATATAATCTGTGTATAGTTTTATATTATGAGTATGACGTGTAAATAACACATTCTGTTAAAAGTGATATGTTGTATTTACAGTAATAATTTCTGTGTGAAACAAGATATTATCTGTACAGTGATATAATCTGAATACAGTAATACCCATTTATCAGAAGATGTGAGCATGTCTACAGTGATACATTCTGGTTCAAGTTATATTTTCTCTGCAAATATAACCATTCTGCGTTCAGTGATATATTCTGTGTACAAAGTGTATTGTTAACAATGGCGTCTATCTTCTTCCAACCAGAAACGAAACATCGACTGGGCAAACTTGGTGACACCAGAACAACTTCTACCAATCCCATGGTATTCGGTAATAACCTTTTATATATACATATAAATAACTTTATGATAATAAGCTTTTAAAAGCATTCTGATAAGAAAAGCACTATTTAATCAAACGTATGTGAGAGGTTACATGACCGGCCAATTCTTTTATTGATCTCATTTTCTTTTCCCGTTCGTGCCAAAAACACATGGGGCAGTTGAAGTAGAGTTCATCTGTTTTAGAGATCTCGGTCTCGGCATATGAAGGGATAGTGTGGTCAGCACCATTCCCAGCCGCCTTTACTTTCGCTAACATAGGATGGGTATCCATTACAGCTGTGTGGGCTCAGGGACGTTATCCTGACTTGAATCTGGATTCGAACTAGACATTTTCGTATCTCCAGGCTAGCATGCTACAAGTATATCACGCCAACTCAGGTTTTATGTATTACAAAGACAAATCCCATTTTCAGATAAATATTAAGAAACGCGCTAATGCAAACATTGTTTTCTGTGTATTAAAAATATTGCGCGAAATGTTTTCCTTTACAGATATCTTAATGTTTCGGAATGCAACACAAAAAAAATATTTTTTATACAAATTATGACAGATTCTTGCCTCTTGGGATATTTATATAAAAAACGCAATGAAGCAAAGATTACTAATTATTTCTTTAAAATATTATGTTTTTGTACTTAGTCATTCAGCGACAAAACTTTTTTTTGTAGTTAAGAAGAGAAAAATTGACTGCAATTGGTCTTTAGTGTGTACAGTAGAACATACGGTGTCCATAGATACATTCTGTGTACAGTGATATACCATGTGTACATTGATATACTGTGTGCACAGTGATATATTCTGTGTACAATTATATATTCTGTGTATAGTGTACGATGTTAACAATGGCGTTAATCTTCTGTCTTCTAGAAACGAAACGTTGACTGGTCGGAGTTTCTTCAACAGATTCAGCCTCAATTTCTGTACTCGGTAATAACAATTTTTTAACGAAACATAGAAAAATAGCCTCTATAACAATGAGCTTTTAAAGTAACTAATGATGAGAAAATATCACTTTAGTAAACGCTTTGGTCTCTCTTTTATGACAGAGATTACATTAGCGACTAATACGAAAGAAAGGAAATTGACTTTCTTTATTTCATTTAATAAGACATCCTTTTTTACTTTTTCTTATACAGAGTGTATAGAAATTATTGTAATCGTACACCAAAATTAATTGAGATTTTGAAAGTTTTCGCTTTTTGCACGGTAGAAAATATTAGTTTTTAAAAGCATGGACCGTTGTAGGTTTTTAGAATATTTATTTAGGTTAGCACAGAAGCTAAAATTCTTTATTTTTATTTTTAAAATATGTTTTTGTGCATTGCCAGAAACGACTAATTTGTTTTTTAGTAAATTAGAAGAGAAACATTGACTGTAACTGGTCTTCATATATTCTGTCTGCAGTGATATATTGTTACGTGTACAGTGTTATATTGTGTGTACAGTGATATATTTTGTGTACAGTATAGAATTTTAACCATGGGGTTTATCTTCTGGCAATTAGAAACGAAACTTTGTTGACCCCTCAATGACCTTGACACCGGGGCAGCTTCAACTGTTTCAACAGTCCATAATGTATTCGGTAAAGAGATTTAACACAACAAATAGAAATAACAGTTCTTGAAATAGACTTTTAAGAACCCTCTAGATAAGAAAATATTTCTTTAATAAAAGCTTTGGCATCTAACCTTAGCCAGATAATCTATCAGCGACCTAGGCTTTTACTAAAGAAAATTGTGATATTCTAATTTTACTGCTATAGCCTTGAAAAGCTGGTTCCAAAATGTTCCAAGTGGTTGTTGCCAGATAGAATATTTTCAACCAAACTTGAATATTTTTATAACATTTAAGAAATATTTACAAAATGACTTCCGGTTTTATTAAGGCTAAAAATATTGAAACAAATAATTAATAGTAATATTATAGTAATTTAGCTAACACTTAAAAAAAAATTGGATTAGTAGAGTTAGGGTGTTGTGGTGATATTGTGTATTTTTTCATGGAAAACAATTGTCCAGACTTTCATTATTTTACTTGCCCTGACAACTCCGGTTGACTTCAAGGAGTTGTTCAGGGCGGTTTTTTTAAAATATTTGAATTGATAAAATAATTCAAAACGGCTTTTTAACGGCTTATGCTCAATAAAAAAATATCTGAAAATGAGAGTAATCAATTTTCACCAAACGGCTGTAATTTTAAAAAAAATGTAGCTAGAACTGTATATAGTTTGCCTATTTTTTAAAGACATTTTTTTAGTTTGATTACAAAGACTTTTCAAGCCTATTGGTAAAAAAAAAATCCTTTTTCTTTTGCTTACACAGTAGGCCTATAGATAATGCATTGACATCGTGTAAAAAATCATTAAAATACATTATAATAATTTTCGCCGTTTTACACCTCACCACTATATTGTATACGGAATATAAAGGATGATGATATAGATTAGCTATTTTTTTGAAGTAATAAACACAGAATAACCTCATCTTTCTGCGTGTGTGTGTGAACACGATAACTTCGGTACCGTTTCTGTTAGGTTGACGAAATTTCATATGTAAGTGATATTTTGTTTACAGAAATATGTCCTGCGTACAGTGAAATATTGGTTTACTGTGATATATTCTTGTACATTTATATATTTGTTTTAGTGATATTTACGGTAATATATTTTACATAAAATAATATATTTTCTGTAAATTGGTATACTATGTGTACAGTGATATATTTTGTGTAAGCTGATATTTTTTTTTAATGGCGTTTATCTTCTGTCTTCTAGAAACGAAAAATTGACTGGTCGGTGTTACTAAAACCTGAACTTCTGGCTTCGGTAATAATTTTTATAATTAACATTTAACAAAACAAAGACACATTTTTTAATGGCTTTTGTAACAATAAGCTTTTAAATTTACTAAAAAAGGAGAAAATCTTTCTTAAATAAAAGCTTTGGCCGCTCAACTATGACAGAGATTACATTAGCGAACAATACTTATACGAAAGGCAGGAAATTGTTTTTATTATATTAGTTTATTTGATAAGACACATTTTTAAATATTTATACGAAAGGAAGGAAATTGTTTTTATTAATTTTTATTAATTTTTTAATTAAAAAAAAAAATTATTGATTTTATTTCATCGTCTCATTCAATGAGACGAATCCTTTTTACTTTTTCTTGTACACAGTGTATTGAAATTATTGTAATCGTGCACCAAAGTGAGATTTTGAAAGTTTTCGCATATTTACACCATCCCAGTCAACTTAATCGTAGGCCGAATTTAAATTGTGGATTGTAATAGTGCAAAATATCTGAATAATGATTTAGAAAAACTTATTTTTTCAATCCCATCTTTCTGCGTGTGTATGTGAGCCCGATAAGTTCAGTACCGTTTCCGTTAGATTGACAAAATTTCATAAGTAAGTGATATATTCTTTGTACATAAATATATCCTGTGTACATTACAATATTAAATTTACGGCGATATATTATGTGTACAATTATATATTTTTATTTTTGTTTTAATGATATATACGTTAATATTTTTTACTTAATGTAATATATTTTCTGTAAATTGATATATTATGTGTACAATGATATATTGTGTGCTTACTGATATTTGTTGTTTTTAATGGCGTTTATCTTCTGTTTTCTAGAAACGAAACATTGACTGGTCTGTGTTACTGCAACCTGAACTTCTGGCTTCGGTAATAATTTATATAATTAATTTTTAAACAATAGACAAATAGCCTTTATAACAATAAACTTTTACATTTACTGAAGATGAGAAAATCTTTCTTTAGTAAATGCTTTGGCCGCTCCACTATGATATAGATTATATATTAAGCGACCTATACGAAAGAAAGGAAATTGATTTTTATTATAATAATTCATTTGATAAGACAATCGGTTTTTTTAAAATTTATACAGATTGTTTAAATATTATTGTAATCGTACGCCGAATTAGATGAGATTTTGAAAGTTTTCGTCTTTTTACACCATCCAACTTAATCGTAGGCCCAATTTAAAGGGTGGCTTGTAATAGTGCAAAATTATCTGAATAATGATTTAGACAATTTAATTTTTTCAATCCCATCTTTCTGCGTGTGTATGTGAACACGATAACTTGAGTACCGTTTCCGTTAGATTGACAAAATTTTAAAAGTAAATGATATATTCTGTGTACATAAATATATCATGTGTACATTAAAATATTGAATTTACGGTGATATATTCTGTGTACATTGATATATTTGTTTTAGTGATATAAACGATAATATATTTTACTTAAAGTAATATATTTCCTGTAAATTGATATATTATGTGAACAATAATATATTTTGTGTACACTGATATTTTTTTGTCATTAATGGCCTTTATCTTCTGTCATCTAGAAACGAAACATTGACTGGTCTGTGTTACTACAACCTGAACTACTGGCTTCGGTAATAATTTATATAATTAATTTTTAACGAAACAAAGACACATTTTTAATGGCTTTTGTAACAATAAGCTTTTAAATTTACTAAAAAAAAATGAGAAAATCTTTCCTTTGTTAAAAAAGCTGTGGCAAATAGACAAATAGCCTTTCTAATAATAAGCTTTTTACATTTACTGAAGATGAGAAAATCTTTCTTTAGTAAAAGCTTTGACCACTCCACTATGACAGAGCTTACATAAGGGGTCATCCATATATGACGTCACGCTTTTTTGGACGATTTTTACCTCCCCCTTCCCCTCCGTCAGACATCGTCACAAAAAGCCAGACCCTCCCCCCCCCCTAAAATGACGTCACACCTTAGCCTACAACCCTCCTCAAAATTGCAGATGAATTTTGTTTAAAACTTCGATATTTTTACAAAATCTTGTCTGAACTCTGTCAAAATAGAGTATTTTAATCAATTCCTATTACATTTTATTAAAACCGTTTTTTAAAACGCGAAATAATGTCTAAAATTCTGTTCTAACATTGCTTTTTTATAATGCAAAAGTGTGACGTCGCACCATCTGAAACCCCCGCCCCCCCCCCCCCTCATCACACACCGTCACAAAATTACGGACCCCCCCCCCTCTCCCCTACGAGTGTGACGTCATTTATGGGCGACCCCTAAGCGACCTATACGAAACAAAGCAAATTGATTTTTATTATAATATTTCATTTAATAAGACAAATCCTTTTTTAAAAATTTATACAGAGTGTATAAAAATCATTGTAATCGTACGCCAAATTAGATGAGATTTTGAAAGTTTTCGTCTTTTTATCCCATCCCACTTAATCGTAGGCCCTATTTAAAGAGTGGCTTGTAATAGTGCAAAATATCTGAATAATGATTTATACAATTTAATTTTTTTAATCCCATCTTTCTGCGTGTGTATGTGAACACGTTAATATGAGTACCGTTTCCGTTAGATTGACGAAATTTAAAAAGTAAGTGATATATTCTGTGTACATAAATATATCATGTGTACATTAAAATATTCAATTTACGGTGATATATTCTGTGTACATTGATATATTTGTTTTAGTGATATAAACGGTAATATATTTTACTTAAAGTAATATATTTCCTGTAAATTGATATATTATGTGTACAATGATATATTTTGTGTACACTGATATTTTTTTGTCATTAATGGCGTTTATCTTCTGTCTTCTAGAAACGAAACATTGACTGGTCGGTGTTACTAAAACCTGAACTACTGGCTTCGGTAATAATTTAAATAAATAACATTCAACAAAATAAAGACACATTTTTAATGGCTTTTGTGACAATAAGCTTTTAAATTTACTAAAAAAGGAGAAAATCTTTCTTTAGTAAAAGCTTTGGCCGCTCAACTATGATAGAGATTACATTAGCGAACAATACTTATACGAAAGGAAGGAATTGATTTTATTATATTATTTCATTTGATAAGACAAATTTTTAAATACTTATACGAAAGGAAGGAAATTGATTTTATTAATTTTTATTAATTTTTAAAATTTTTAATTTTTTTTTAAATTATTGATTTTTTTTTATCCTCCCATTCAATGAAACGAATCCTTTTTACTTTTTCTTGTACACAGTGTATTGAAATTATTGTAATCGTGCACCAAAGTGAGATTTTGAAAGTTTTCGCCTATTAACACCATCCCAGTCCACTTAATCGTAGACCGAGTTTGATTTGTGGATTGTAATAGTGCAAAATATATGAATAATGTTTTAGACAAATTTATTTTTTCAATTCCATCTTTCTGCGTGTGTATGTGAACACGATAAGTTCAGTACCGTTTCCGTTAGATTGACAAAATTTCATAAGTAAGTGATATATTCTGTGTACATAAATATATCCTGTGTACATTACAATATTACATTTACGGCGATATATTATGTGTACAATGATATATTTTTATTTTTGTTTTAATGATATATACGTTAATATTTTTTACTTAATTTAATATATTTTCTGTAAATTGATATATTATGTGTACAATAATATATTTTGTGTACACTGATATTTTGTTTTTGTTATTAATGACGTTTATCTTCTGTCTTCTAGAAACGAAACATTGACTGGTCTGTGTTACTACAACCTGAACTACTGGCTTCGGTAATAATTTATATAATTAATTTTTAACGAAACAAAGACACATTTTTAATGGCTTTTGTAACAATAAGCTTTTAAATTTACTAAAAAAAAAATGAGAAAATCTTTCCTTTGTTAAAAAAGCTTTGGCAAATAGACAAATAGCCTTTATAACAATAAGCTTTTACATTTACTGAAGATGAGAAAATCTTTCTTTAGTAAAAGCTTTGGCCGATCCACCATGACAGAGCTTACATAAGGGGTCTTCCATAAATGACGTCACGCTTTTTTGGACGATTTTTACCTTCCCCCCCCTCCGTCACACATCGACACAAAAAGCCAGCCCCCCCCCCCAAATGACGTCACACCTCAGCCTAGAACCCTCCTCAAAATTGCAGATGAATTTTTTTAAAACATAGATATTTTTCCAAAATCTTGTCTGAACTCTGTCAAAATAGAGTATTTTAATCAATTCCTATTACATTTTATTAAAACAGTTTATTAAAACGCGAAATAACGTCTAAAATTCGTTTTCTAACATTGCTTTTTTATAATGCAAAAGTGTGACGTCGCACCATCTGAACCCCCCCCCCCCCCCACCTCATCACACACCGTCACAAAATTACGGACCCGCCCTCTCCCCTACGACTGTGACGTCATTTATGGACGACCCCTAAGCGACCTATACGAAACAAAGCATTGCTTTTTTATAATGCAAAAGTGTGACGTCGCACCATCTGACCCCCCCCCCCCTCATCACACACCGTCACAAAATTACGGACCCCCCTCTCCCCTACGAGTGTGACGTCATTTATGGACGACCCCTAAGCGACCTATACGAAACAAAGCAAATTGATTCTTTTTATAATATTTCATTTAAGACAAATCCTTTTTTAAAAATGTATACAGAGTGTATAAAAATTATTGTAATCGTACACCAAATTAGATGAGATTTTGAAAGTTTTCGTCTTTTTACACCATCCCACTTAATCGTAGGTCCAATAATTTAAAGGGTGGCTTGTAAATATATTTGAATCATGAATTATACATTTTTACTTATTCAATCCCATCTTTCTGCGTGTGTACATTGATATATTTGTTTTAGTGATATAAACGGTAATATATTTTACTTAAAGTAATATATTTCCTGTAAATTGATATATTATGTGTACAATGATATATTTTGTGTACACTGATATTTTTTTGTCATTAATGGAGTTTATCTTCTGTCTTCTAGAAACGAAACATTGACTGGTCGGTGTTACTAAAACCTGAACTTCTGGCTTCGGTAATAATTTATATAATTAAGTTTTAACGAAACAAAGACACATTTTAATGGCTTTTATAACAATAAGCTATTTAATTTACTAAAAAATATAAATCTCTCTTTAGTAAAAGCTTTGGCCGCTCAACTATGACAGAGATTACATTAGCGAACAATACGAAACAAAGAAAATCGATAATTGTATTAATTCATTTGATAAGACAAATCCATTTTACTTTTTCTTATATAGATTGTATAGAAATTATTGTAATCATACATCACAATTAAATGAGATTTTGAAAGTTTTCGCTTTTGTACACCAGGCCACTTAATCGTAGGCCCAATTTAAAGGGTGGCTTGCAACCGTGCAAAATATCTGAATTATGATTTCGACAATTTTTTTTTAATCCTGTCTGTACTGTTTGTACTGAAATATATCCTATGTACAGTGAAATATTCTGTGTACGGTGATATATCATGTGTAAAGTGATACATTTGTTTTAGTGACATGTACGGTAATATACTCTACTTAAAGTAATATATTTTTCTGTAAATATATATATATATATATATATATATATATATATATATATATATATATATATATATATATATATATATATATACAGTGATCTATTTTGTGTATACTGACATTTTCTGTCTTTTGTAAAATATCCTGTTTGCAGTGATATATTCTGTATATGGTGATATATTATGTGTACTGTGTAGAATGTTAACAATGGTGTTTATTTTCTGTCATGTAGAAACGAAACGTTGATTGGTCGGAGTTACAACAACCTGAACTTCTGTATTCGGTAATAATTAATATTTAACAAAACAACGAAAACTAGCCTTTATAAATAACTAGGCATGCTGCCCAGCTTCGCTTAGGCTTTCGAAAACATTGAGAATTTGAATGCTTAATTAATTCGCCCGAAGGTCGGTCTACGACCTCAAGAGTTATGAAGAGGTTCCTCCGTGGATATTTTTTTTCGATTAATAGCTCATATAAGGTACCGGTCAGTCGAGGTCAGTTTTGACCCCCACATCGTAGACTTTTCGGCCAACCGGCCCCCGTGTTCTGTCGCACCAAGGCAAGATCATGCCAAATTTGAAGCGCCTGCGGCGCCGGGAAGTGCCCTATCGGACACCCGACAATCTAGATCTAGATCTAGATTCCTAAAAGAATTTTTTTTTTAAGTTTAGCCCGAGCATAATAAAAAAGAATACATTAACCAAGTTGACTTGCTGTGTCTCGAACCCGCACCACCTGCGTGGTTTAATGTACACTAACATCTCCGCTATTTAGGCACCTTATAAAATACGGAGAATGAAACACGTATTTTAAAATCTTAACTTACGCGAATATGCCTATTCTTTCAAATTAATTTTTTATCCCAAATTAGCCAGTTCCAAACAAAGATTTTGTATAAAATAAATAAGTCTTGAAATAGTTTAGTCCTAATATAGAAATTTATTTTTGGAATTGATTTTAGAGAAGTTAGAGTCTAAATCTAGATCTTAGCGTCTACGTCTAGATCTAGTTATTGCGTAGATTTAGATTTAGATTTAGTCTAGATCTAGAATCTCTAGATCTAGAATCCAAATACATAAAATAAATTTTATGAGTTTAGGCCGGAAAAATTGTATTGTATACATTTCATAGTGTACGTAGATCTAAATCAAATTTGAATGAAATAGTTCATTTCTTTTCATTCTTAACACGGCAGATGACGTCATTAGTTAATGTATAAGCAATAGTGACGTCACAGTTTTATGCGTTCTTTTTCACATGTATTAATGCTTTTCCGGTTGCATAAATAATACTGTTTCTCTACATTCGAATACGCCTTTAATTTTTATTTTTCTTCTTTAAGTAAAATTGTGGTTATACATTTAAAACATCTAACATATTATTTTCAACAAAAGTCCGTAAAAAGTTCTCCATATACCGCTGCCGATTCTGACGTGATGTCCGGCGAAAATTTTTTGCGGACAGAGAAAGAGAGAGAGAGAGAGAAGAGCGCACATGGCCTTTTATAAATTAGGATAAGCTTTTACAGTTTTTGCCATTTTCTTTGTACAATGCGATATTCTTTATTTGTGTACAGTGATATATTCTATGTACAGTGATTATATACTGTGTACAGTGATACATTCTGTGTATAGTGATTTATCCTGTGTAGAGTGATATATTCTGTGTTTAGTGGTATATCTTGTGCACATTGATATGTTACGTGTAACTAGTGATAAATTCTGTGTACAGTGATATAATCTGTGTAGGGTGATATATTATATGCACAGTGAATTTTGTGTACAGTGAAATTATGTGTACGGTGAATTCTGTGTACAATGATTAATTCTGTGTACAGAATCCAGTGACCTTGACACCAGCGCAACTTCAACAGATTGAACAGATTCAACATTCCTTAGTTTATTCGGTAATTATATTTAACATAAGAATTTATTCGGTAATTATATTTAACATAAGAATTTATTCGGTAATTATATTTAACATAAGAATTTATTCGGTAATTATATTTAACATAAGATTTTATTCGGTAATTATATCTAACATAAGAATTTATTCGGTAATTATATCTAACATAAGAATTTATTCGGTAATTATATTTAACATAAGAATTTATTCGGTAATTATATTTAACATAAGAATTTATTCGGTAATTATATTTAACATAAGAATTTATTCGGTAATTATATTTAACATAAGAATTTATTCGGTAATTATATTAAACATAAGAAATGTAACTACACTTTATAATTGTAAACTTATTAATAAACACCTTCCAAGTTAATCGTATTCGGAATGAAAAGGTATTAAAATCATGTAAAAAATAAAAACAACATAAAGCAAGATTTGACGGCTTACAACGTTCCAGAGAAGGAAAAACTTAGTTTGGCAATCTTGTCTGTGTGTTTATAGAACCTTAACTTTAATACCGTTTCAGCTGAAATGACGAAAAATCATAAATAAGTATTATTTGAGATTTTGTAGTTTTCTTTCAACCGTTGAGCGATTTAGGTCAACTAAAATATTAGCTCTTACTCTACTTACGATTTCTCAAAAGCCAACCAAGCCACCGTTTAAGCAGGCCAATATTGCACAAATAAGTAGTGTATTGTATGCCCATGCGTCTATCACATTCTTATATAGGAAAATTATAACTTGAGTACTGTTTTAGTCATGTGGGCGAATTTTTATGCTTGACATATTCTTGACATATGATGTGTACAGTGATATACTCTGTGTACAGTGAAATATTCTGTGTACTGTATAGAATGTTAACTATTGCGTTTATCTTCTGTCATCTAGAAACGGGGGTCGGCGCGGTCGAGTCGGTAAAGCTCATGGTTGCTAAACCGAAAAGTCTCGAGTTCGAACCCTCGGACAGATGAGGCTCGTTAGCTGGGGACAGCCACTCTTCTAGGAGAGACAACTCCAAAATCATACAACTGCTGCCTTGTAGTTTGTTCTTGGTTGGACAAAGGCTATGGAAGCAAATCCAAAACGAAAAAACAGGCTGAAATCGGAGTCAATGGCCTCAATGGCGCATAACCAGTTGACACGTAATCCTTAATTGTGATGGAAGCATGGTCGAGTCGGCAGAGCTCATGGTTGATAAATTCGAAAAAGTCTCGAGTTCAAACCCACTGGCAGATAAGGCTCGATCCCTCCCAACACTAAAAATTAAGAACGAAGAAGAAGAAGAAGAAACGGGACTTCCTCAGATTTTCAATGACCTTGACACCGGAGCAGATTCAACTGCTTCAACAGTCCATAATGTTTTCGGTAAAAAAATTAACAAACAAATATCAACAACCTTTATACTAGTAAACTTTCGATTGCACTGACGTTCAGAAAATCTTTCTGTTGAAAAAAGTTGGGTCGCTAAACAATGCATGAAATTACATTGCGATCAAGGCTTTTACTAATGAAAGAACGTTTTTCTGATGATTTATAATAATTCATATAATAAGCCTAATTATTTTTTCAGAATTTGTTTCAGAAAAATGTTTCCAGAAAAATGATTTATGTTTCAGTATCTCATACGGAATTTTTGTAGTTGAAATAACTGACCAATAGCTGTCGATATTTATATTTTAAAGCACTGAAGTATGTTTACCAGTTGTTTTAAAAAAATAAGTATATGTACATAATCGAAAAAATTGTTTTTGTAATATAGAAAAGAGCTACAATCTGGGACATCGTAAACGAGATTAATAGTCATTACACACCCGAGGAACTCCAAAATCTACAACAACATGTGCTCTTGTTGGTAAAATATATATTATTATTACATTTTTATATTTAGTTTGTGTTGGTTAGTTAATCCAATTTACAGTTTATCTTTAGTTTTGTTGGTAAAGTACATTCAAATCACACTTTTATCTTTAATCTTTAGAATAATAAAGTACCGATATTATTAAAATTTTTATAAAAAAAAATTTCCAATTGCTAAAAAAAAATAAATAGAAAAATAAAATAAATAAACTTTCATTCAAGTTTTTATCAAAATGCACTACAATTTTCCACAGAAACGCGGCGTGAACTGGCCAAACGTAAATCTGGATTTACTAACGTTACCGGTTGTACCTTTACTGTGAGGTCACCAGGCAAGGTAACGTATGCAAGCAAGACACTGTACTTACTTTACTAACGCTTCGAGATACTAACGTTCCGAGATATGAACATTCCGAGATACGAACTTTCCGAGATACGAACGTTCCGAGATACTAAAGTTCCGAGATACGAACATTGTATTTAATTAAATTTAGTGTGCGTGAGGAGAAATGCTTACATGTCTCTCTACCTATCTATCTCTTTATACAAATCTAATTTATAAAGTTCAAATGGACTCTTTGTGTCTTTGTATGTTTTTGAAGACATGCGTATCACCGTTGTTTTAAAAGTGTTTTTTGTGTGTTTTGTTTGAGTTTGCGTTTGTGTTTGCATTTGTGCTTGCGTTACGTTTACGTTTGCATTTATGTTTCCGTTAACGTTGGTGTTTGCGTTTGTGTTTGCGTTACGTTTGGGTTTTGTTTTAGTGTCTGTGTTATGGTTTTTGGTTGTGATGTGTTGTGATTATGATTAATTTTAGAGTTAGAGTTATGTTTACGATTGTGTTATTTTGTTATTTTCTCAAACGTACATATTTGTATATAGACATTTTATTGGAAAAATAATATATTTCCTAAACACGGCCAATGACGGGTATATGCTGCCTTATAAACACACAAATCAAGGTCCTTTACAGATAGGTTTTTCGCAAAGGCCAGTGCAAGGCCTGGCAATTGGTACATTATAAACAAACTAAAACAAAAAATTGAATAAACACACAAACAATCACTAAACAAATAAATAAAGAAAATATTATATATTGAATATATATATTGAACTTGTTACCAGAAAAAAAAATACGGAATCGGAAAATTGTGCAACGGAAAACTGCGCCAACAGAAAATTGCGCAAAAAAAAACAAAACAACTAATTATATTAATAGACTCATTTTGTAATATTTCGTGGAAATATGCATATATGATGTGTAATTAACTTGTCCGAACCTTTTTCTTTCAGCGCACGCTATGAGATATCTTGAAATCTTTCGCAAAAGTTTGGACAGTGAATGTAACTCAATGCTTTGTTGGGAAACCACAATGTATTTGGCAATTGTAAAAGAAAAAGTCAGCAGCTGCGTTTAAAAAAAATAAATAATCGAACACAAAGCTTTTTATTCATTTTTAAATCCATCGCTTTCACCATCGCTATCGTTCTTACATACATCCTACTTAGCTGTTTTAGTTTGGGCCTGTTAAGATAAAAATATAAAATTAAGTTAATATAAAACGTTAAAATGTCATGAGATGTGCAACGTCATCGACAATAGGCTAAAGATGATTGCTGTAATTGGTGCTACACCTTTTTATCTTACATTCTGTTCATGTCAAATATTTGGGGGTCTTATTTCATTCTCAGCTTATAACATATACAGCTCGCAATCCGTATTTTTTTCTCCACATCCAAATAAAAATTGTCCTGGACAATGCCTTATCTAGACTACGGTGTGATCGCGTTTTCATTATTCTGGGTGCGGTTTCATTGTGAGTAGCGTATTGTTTGGGTTTTGTTTGTATAGGATTATATATATGCAATGCGACACAGACCAAAAGGACCATCAGACCAAGAGACAGACATACAAGATGGCTGCCAAAGAAAAAAATCAAAATCCATGCTAGTTTCCATACATGGATACAACTGTATGTGATAACTTTATCTATGATGACGAGGTGAGACAATCATCCAAGAACAAAATCAAAGACAGTAAGCGTCTTCGGCCACTTGCAAAAAGATGGAACGTTCAAAAGATTTTCTAATTCGGACTTTGGCCGGTCACCTCTAGCCAGATAAACTTCTAATTCGGACTTTGGCCGGCCAAAAACCGAAATGAAGTAAACCGGTCAATGGGAGGCCGTATTGGCCAATGCGAGCACTGGCCAGCCAATACGTGCTTGGGCCGACTTCGGACTTTGACCGTAACATCTGCATAATTTGGGGGAAATGTAATCGAAACATACAACATCTGGTAGTGATTTGTTATTTGTAAAATAATCGATACAAGTTGGTATGTACTTAATATTTTAAATCGCAGATTTGCGTAGCTATGGGTGGATCTCCTAAAGAACATGGATGTCTAGACCACCCACAGTCAAACGCTAACCAATGGTTTAGGTTTAAATATACTTACATTTACCAACTACCGACTTACTTCTATTTCGTGTTCAAAGTTTCTTAATACATTAAATCAAGTCCCTTCTCCTTGAATGTTAAAAAAAACTATATTTAGTTTAATGTAGATCCCTCAAGAAAATATCGATGTTATACATTTTACATGTCAGTGTTTTATAAAGACATGTAAGACTACGTAACATTTTTTTCCTTCTTTGTCTATTTTATTTTTACATAAACGAAAGATCTAAAAATGTGTCAGAAAAAAAGGCTCCGGTTTTCATGCATCGTTATCTTTAACCTGCTGTCTTTAGCAACTGATCAGACTGAGAAACACACAGCTGGTAAGTTCTATCCAACTTCAGGTGGTTCATTGTAGTTTTGAGGTCGCTAGTTCTGCTATATCGTTACGTTTAGGTTAAAAATAGACTTTTCAACTTAGAATCGTGTAGGTGTTTCTAGTAAAAAATACAAAACATAATTTACTGCACGATGTAGTAATTTGCAAGAATAGATCAGTTCGCAAAGTGTGAGATAAGACTCCCCCCCCCCCCCACCCATGGGAGGAAGGGATCGAATGATGCAGGAAGGCGATTAAAGCTTCGGGTGTAATGAGGGTGATGGTGGGGCGCTGTAATTTAAAAAAAAAGTGGGGGGGGGGGGGTGGTTCGACTGTCCCCTGCAAGAGACAAATAAAATTAAAGTCGCTCAAACTTCTAAACAACACCACTTTTTTAATGAACATTTACTTTACACGAATATAGAATCGCCAAAATTGTAATTTGTAGTGAAGTAAAAACAAGGTATTCAAATGACAAATTGACTTTATACTGGTTGATGACAAAGTCCAAATCAACCTTGATGGGTCCCAGAAAGATGCGCAACGGAAAAAAAGCGCAGCGGAAAGAAGCGCAACGGAAAAAGCGCAAACAGAAAAAAGCGCAAACAAAAAAATGCGCACACAGAAAAAACGAAAAAAAATAATTAAATTCCATTTTTGTATATATAGGTTATTTAAATGAAAAAAAAAACTTTGTGAAGTTGAGAATATTACTGTGAAGGTTTCTGTAACAAGTGCAACAGGAGGTCCCTAAAAAGCTTAGTTAAGGAATTTAATACTTTACTTTTCTTTCAAGCTATTTAGCGGAAACCTGATTATCTGAATTCAAAGTAATTTAAAATAAATTCACTTATGCAAACTTTTTAAAAATAAAAATGGAATCCCTAAGCGGATGATAACGATTTAATCTAGCTTGTCTTTAAAAAAACAGAAAATAACCCTACAATAAAGTCTATTATATATAAGGCCTTGCTATTTTTCAAGTTGTGTTGTTAGTATTTCTGTAACAAGACAGCACGGTAAGTTTTGATTGAAAAACTGGTGGAATGATAAACCTAAGAATAATTCATATAAATGTACATGTGGATACTTGCATATATATATATATATATATATATATAAATATATATATATATATATATATATATATATATATGTATCATCTTACATTTTGCTAATAGCAGAAACGGTCACTCAAGCCGATTGCACGGAATACTAAATCAAGTTACACTCTTTTATCATAGTTAGACCATAATATTCATTCTAACCCCAGACTTAACCAAAAAGTTTACTGCAGTCTTTTTTGATAATCCAGTACTTTACTGTTTCATCTATGAGCAGAAGACAATGCTGACCCTAACTCTGTTGACCGTCGTAGCCCTCGGGCTGGTGGGTGCCAGACCTGCAGATAACGAAGTGAGTTTTTTGTTTGACCTGTTTGTTAAACTGTTGTTTTTTTTTCTTTCTCGTATACAGAGTATAGAGGAAGTATGGTAATACTGCACAAAAATCACATACATATTTCACAGTTTTTACTGTTTTACTTCTCAATACTTCAGCATACACGGAATGTAGGGGACTTATTTTAATCGGGCAAGAATTATAAATCCAGATTTATCAAAATTTCGGTGTTTTACGCGTAATCAAGTCTGAAAAACTGGGCTTTGCATTTCTATCCGTGTGAATGTGTGTCTGTGAACACGATAACTTGAGTACCTTTACAGCTAGGTTGACGAAATTTCATATACACGTTTTATATCAAATTTGAAGATCTGTTTCGACTTTTCAGCAATTTTCGATAACCGGAAGTGATATGATTTGTGTACAGTAACCTATTCAATGTGCATATATTGTGTGTACAGTGCTATATTCGGTGTATAGAGATATAGTCTGTGTACAATGATAAATTCTATGTTTAATGATATATTCTGTTTATATTGATATAATCTGTGAACAGTGATATATTCCTTGAACTGTTATATGTTCTTTGACCAGTGATATATTATGAGTACAATAATATGTTCTGTGTATAGTGATATATTCTGTTTATATTGATATAATCTGTGAACAGTGATATATTCCTTGAACTGTTATATGTTCTTTGACCAGTGATATATTATGAGTACAATAATATGTTCTGTGTATAGTGATATATTCTGTTTATATTGATATAATCTGTGAACAGTTATATATTCCTTGAACTGTTATATGTTCTTTGACCAGTGATATATTATGAGTACAATAATATGTTCTGTGTCTAGTGATATATTCTGTTTATATTGATATAATCTGTGAACAGTTATATATTCCCTGAACTGTTATATGTTCTGTGACCAGTGATATATTATGAGTACAATAATATGTTTTGTGTATAGTGATATGTTTTGTTTACAAAGATATGTTGTTTGAAAAGTGTAGAAGTTAATAAATGTGTTTATCTTTTTTTTTCTAGAAAAAAAGCACGGACTGGTCAAAGCCCCGCTGTGGTCAAAACGCCTATGGTCAAAGCACCCTTTGTCCAAGGTCCGCGCACTGTGGACCGTGAACTATTTACTGTTCCGTGATATATTATGTATATAGTGATATATTATAAGTAAAGCAATATAATTTGGGTCCAGTGATATATTCTGTGTACAATAATATATTTTGTGTACAGTGATATATTCTATGTACAATGACATAATCTCCGTTAAATGATATATACATTCTGTGTACAACGATATATTCAGTGATATATTATGTGTACAGTGATATATTATGTGTACCGTGAAATATTATGTGTACAGTAATATTTTCTATGTACATAGATATATACTGTGTACAATAGTATGTTCAGTGTAAATTGTATAATGTTAACAATTTTGTTTATATTATTTTTTCTAGCAAAAAAAACTTTGACTGGTCGGCTATTCTACAACAGGTTCCACAAGTAACAGTTGTATCGGTAATAATATTTAAAATAAACAAAGACAAATAACCTTTATACTATTATGCTTGTAAATGCATTGAAAATAAGAAAATTTCTCGTTAGTAAAAGTTTGATGATTTTACATCAAACTCGCATATAACATATTCAAATTATTTTTCTCTTCAAAACTTTTTTCTTGAAAAAAAAACAACAACAAAAATCAAATAAACAACAACAACGAGCTGTTTTGTCACAATTTTCAATATTTCTACGTAGCAAGCACTCGTATTATCCGTGTAAAGAATGTTAACAATGGGGTTTATCTTTTTTTTTTCAAGAGAAAAATCCTGGCCTTGTTATTTGTCATGTTTTATTGTTAGTTTTTATGTATTGAGATAGGACGGTAAATTTCTTAAGTAAAACTTTTGCATGGCACATTTAAGAATTATTCATTTAAATGTGCGTGTGGATGAGTATATCTATATCTATATCTATATCTATATCTATATCTATATCTATATCTATATCTATATCTATATCTATATCTATATCTATATCTATATCTATATCTATATCTATATCTATATCTATATCTATATCTATATCTATATCTATATCTATATCTATATCTATATCTATATCTATATCTATATCTATATCTATATCTATATCTATATCTATATCTATATCTATATCTATATCTATATCTATATCTATATCTATATCTATATCTATATCTATATCTATATCTATATCTATATCTATATCTATATCTATATCTATATCTATATCTATATCTATATCTATATCTATATCTATATCTATATCTATATCTATATCTATATCTATATCTATATCTATATCTATATCTATATCTATATCTATATCTATATCTATATCTATATCTATATCTATATCTATATCTATATCTATATCTATATCTATATCTATATCTATATCTATATCTATATCTATATCTATATCTATATCTATATCTATATCTATATCTATATCTATATCTATATCTATATCTATATCTATATCTATATCTATATCTATATCTATATCTATATCTATATCTATATCTATATCTATATCTATATCTATATCTATATCTATATCTATATCTATATCTATATCTATATCTATATCTATATCTATATCTATATCTATATCTATATCTATATCTATATCTATATCTATATCTATATCTATATCTATATCTATATCTATATCTATATCTATATCTATATCTATATCTATATCTATATCTATATCTATATCTATATCTATATCTATATCTATATCTATATCTATATCTATATCTATATCTATATCTATATCTATATCTATATCTATATCTATATCTATATCTATATCTATATCTATATCTATATCTATATCTATATCTATATCTATATCTATATCTATATCTATATCTATATCTATATCTATATCTATATCTATATCTATATCTATATCTATATCTATATCTATATCTATATCTATATCTATATCTATATCTATATCTATATCTATATCTATATCTATATCTATATCTATATCTATATCTATATCTATATCTATATCTATATCTATATCTATATCTATATCTATATCTATATCTATATCTATATCTATATCTATATCTATATCTATATCTATATCTATATCTATATCTATATCTATATCTATATCTATATCTATATCTATATCTATATCTATATCTATATCTATATCTATATCTATATCTATATCTATATCTATATCTATATCTATATCTATATCTATATCTATATCTATATCTATATCTATATCTATATCTATATCTATATCTATATCTATATCTATATCTATATCTATATCTATATCTATATCTATATCTATATCTATATCTATATCTATATCTATATCTATATCTATATCTATATCTATATCTATATCTATATCTATATCTATATCTATATCTATATCTATATCTATATCTATATCTATATCTATATCTATATCTATATCTATATCTATATCTATATCTATATCTATATCTATATCTATATCTATATCTATATCTATATCTATATCTATATCTATATCTATATCTATATCTATATCTATATCTATATCTATATCTATATCTATATCTATATCTATATCTATATCTATATCTATATCTATATCTATATCTATATCTATATCTATATCATCTATCAATATACTATATATCTATATCTATATCTAATCTACATCTATCTATCTATATCTACATCTATAATCTATATCTACATCTACATCTATATCTATATCTACATCTATATCTATATCTAAATCTACATCTACATCTATATCTATATCTAAATCTATATCTATATCTATATCTATATCTATATCTATATCTATATCTATATCTATATCTATATCTATATCTATATCTATATCTATATCTATATCTATATCTATATCTATATCTATATCTATATCTATATCTATATCTATATCTATATCTATATCTATATCTATATCTATATCTATATCTATATCTATATCTATATCTATATCTATATCTATATCTATATCTATATCTATATCTATATCTATATCTATATCTATATCTATATCTATATCTATATCTATATCTATATCTATATCTATATCTATATCTATATCTATATCTATACTATAATATCTATATCTATATCTATATCTATATCTATATCTATATCTATATCTATATCTATATCTATATCTATATCTATATCTATATCTATATCTATATCTATATCTATATCTATATCTATATCTATATCTATATCTATATCTATATCTATATCTATATCTATATCTATATCTATATCTATATCTATATCTATATCTATATCTATATCTATATCTATATCTATATCTATATCTATAATCTATATCTATATCTATATCTATATCTATATCTATATCTATATCTATATCTATATCTATATCTATATCTATATCTATATCTATATCTATATCTATATCTATATCTATATCTATATCTATATCTATATCTATATCTATATCTATATCTATATCTATATCTATATCTATATCTATATCTATATCTATATCTATATCTATATCTATATCTATATCTATATCTATATCTATATCTATATCTATATCTATATCTATATCTATATCTATATCTATATCTATATCTATATCTATATCTATATCTATATCTATATCTATATCTATATCTATATCTATATCTATATCTATATCTATATCTACATCTACATCTACATCTACATCTACATCTACATCTACATCTACATCTACATCTACATCTACATCTACATCTACATCTACATCTACATCTACATCTACATCTACATCTACATCTACATCTACATCTACATCTACATCTACATCTACATCTACATCTACATCTACATCTACATCTACATCTACATCTACATCTACATCTACATCTACATCTACATCTACATCTACATCTACATCTACATCTACATCTACATCTACATCTACATCTACATCTACATCTACATCTACATCTACATCTACATCTACATCTACATCTACATCTACATCTACATCTACATCTACATCTACATCTACATCTACATCTACATCTACATCTACATCTACATCTACATCTACATCTACATCTACATCTACATCTACATCTACATCTACATCTACATCTACATCTACATCTACATCTACATCTACATCTACATCTACATCTACATCTACATCTACATCTACATCTACATCTACATCTACATCTACTTCTTCCCTAAGACATCTACATCTATCTTCAGCTCTGCTACATCTAACATCGACTTCGACTTCTACATCGACTTCGACATCGACATCTACTGCCTACTTCTATATCTTTCTACTATCTATATCTACATCTCTATATCTACATCTATATCTATACTATCTATATCTATATCTATATCTATATCTATATCTATATCTATATCTATATCTATATCTATATCTATATCTATATCTATATCTATATCTATATCTATATCTATATCTATATCTATATCTATATCTATATCTATATCTATATCTATATCTATATCTATATCTATATCTATATCTATATCTATATCTATATCTATATCTATATCTATATCTATATCTATATCTATATCTATATCTATATCTATATCTATATCTATATCTATATCTATATCTATATCTATATCTATATCTATATCTATATCTATATCTATATCTATATCTATATCTATATCTATATCTATATCTATATCTATATCTATATCTATATCTATATCTATATCTATATCTATATCTATATCTATATCTATATCTATATCTATATCTATATCTATATCTATATCTATATCTATATCTATATCTATATCTATATCTATATCTATATCTATATCTATATCTATATCTATATCTATATCTATATCTATATCTATATCTATATCTATATCTATATCTATATCTATATCTATATCTATATCTATATCTATATCTATATCTATATCTATATCTATATCTATATCTATATCTATATCTATATCTATATCTATATCTATATCTATATCTATATCTATATCTATATCTATATCTATATCTATATCTATATCTATATCTATATCTATATCTATATCTATATCTATATCTATATCTATATCTATATCTATATCTATATCTATATCTATATCTATATCTATATCTATATCTATAGGGTTTATAATGTTAATTTTTTCTGATATTTTTTGGGACGTGGTGATGCCTATATTTTTTTGTGTTATAAAAATATGATGAGATACTTATTCTTTTAAAGGTATCTTTTTGTTTTGGTTAGAACAACACGGGCTTTTCTAAATTTTGAGATGATATAATGTTCGTAGCTCGCACTCATATTGTATGCCAAAGTACTATGTTCTGTTGAAAATGATATATTTTGAGTAGAGTTATATATTCTGTGTACAGCGATATATTTTGTGTCCAGTGATATATTCTGTGTACAGTGAAATATTATGTGTACAGTAATATATTCTATGTACATAGATATATAATATGTCCCATAATATGTTCAGTACATTGTATAATGATAACAATTTTGTATGTATTATTTTTTCTAGAAAAAAAACATTGACTGGTCGGCTCTTCTCCAACTTCCACAAGTACCAATTGTATCGGTAATAATATTTAACATAAACAAAGACAAATAACCTTTATACTATTATGCTTGTTAATGCATTGAAAATAAGAAAATTCCTCGTTAGTAAAAGTTTGATGATTTTACATCATACTCTCATAAAACATATTCAAAGTATTTATCTCATAGTTTCTCGAAAAAAAGCAACAACAACAACGCGCCGTTTTGTCACAAACTTCAATATTTCTACGTAGCATGCACTCATATTATCCGTGTAAAAATGTTAACAATGGCGTTTATCAAATTATTTCAAGAGAAAACAACCTGGCCTTTTTATTTGTCATGTTTTATTATTAGTTTTTCTGTATCGAGATAGGACGGTAAATGTCTTGAACAAAACTTTTGCATAGCACATTTATGAATTATTCATATAAATGTGCTTGTGGATGAGTATATATATATATATATATATATATATATATATATATATATATATATATATATATATATATATATATATATATATATATATATATATACCTACATACATACGTTGTACAATAATATGTTCAGTGTACTTTGTATAATGTTAACGATTTTGTTGCTATTATTTTTTCTAGAAAAAAGAACTTGACTGGTCGGCTATTCTACAACAGGTTCCTACTACTCCATTTCTTTTATCGGTAATAACATTTAACCGAAACAAAGACAAATTACCTTTATACTAGTATGCTTTTAATTGCATTGGATGTAAGAAAAGCTCTCTTTAGTAAGAGCTTGATAATTTATACATCATATTCTCATAGAACACTTTTCGAAGAATTTTTCTTTTCAATGCAGTTATATTGTCTGTGTAAAGTAATATGTTCTGTTAAAATGATATATTTTGAGTACAGTGTTATATTCTGTGTAATCTGACACATTGTGTGTCCAGTGATATATTCTGTGTACAGCGATATATTTTGTCTCAACTGATATATTCTGTGTTCATTGACATATTCTGTGTACAATGATATATATATTTTGTACAGTGATATATTATGTGTACAGTGATATATTATCTGTACTGTGATATGTTATTTGTACAGTAATATATTCTATGTACATAGATATACGTTGTACAATAATATGTTCAGTGTACTTTGTATAATGTTAACAACTTTGTTGATATTATTTTTTCTAGAAAAAAGAATTTGACTGGTCTGCTATTCTACAACAGCTTCCTACCACTCCATTTCTAGCTTTATCGGTAATAACATAATTAACATAAACAAAGACAAATTACCTTTACTCTAATAAGCTTTTAAATTTATGGAAGATAAGAAAAGCTATCCTTTATAAAAGCTTGATAATTTTGTACTATATTCCAATACTATGATTCTATATAGATATTATAGATAATATTATATTCTATATTCTACATCTATGTAACGTCTAAAAAAATAGTTTGTCACAAACTTCAATATTTCTATAGCCCGTTTGTAATGCAAGTGTTATTCCCCTTAGTGTAATAAAAGGATTTAAAGAAAGTTTAGGGAAGATCATTCCCGTTTATTTTTTCTGATATTGTTTTTGGACGTGCTTTAAAAATATGATGAGACATTTATTCTTTTAAAGATATCTTTTTGTTTTGGTTAATAGAGTAGCAAAACATTTATTACTACGACAACACGTTTTTTTTTAAATTTTGAGATGATATAGCTAGCACTCATATTATATGTGTAAAGTATTATGTTCTGTTAAAATGATATATTTAAGTACAGTTATATATTCTGTGTAATCTGATATATTAGGTGTCCACTGATATATTCTGTGTACAATGATATATATTTTGTACAGTGATATATTATGTGTACAGTGATATATTATGTATGCAGTGAAATATTATGTGTACAGTAATATTTTCTATGTACATAGATTTATACTGTGTACATAAATATGTTCAGTGTACATTGTATAATGATAACAATTTTTTTTTGTCTTATTTTTTTCTAGAAAAAAAACATTGACTGGGCGACTCTTCTCCAGTTTCCACAAGGACCAATTATATCGGTAATAATATTTAACATAAACAAAGACACATAACCTTTATACTATTATGCTTGTAAATGCATTGAAAATAAGAAAATTTCTCATTAGTAAAAGTTTGATGATTTTACATCATACTCTCATAAAACATATTCAAAGTATTTATCTCTCCTATGTAGTTTCTCGAAAAAAAGCAACAACAACAACGAGCCGTTTTGTCACAAACTTCAATATTTCTACGTAGCCATCACTCATATTATCCGTGTAAAGAATGTTAACAATGGCGTTTATCTATTTTTTCGAGAGAAAAAAACCTGGTCTTGTTATTTGTCATGTTTTAATGTTAGTTTTTCTGTATTGAGACAGGACGGTAAATGTCTTCAGTAAAACTTTTGCATGGAACATATATATATATATATATATATATATATATATATATATATATATATATATATATATATATATATATATATATATATAAGTTTGTGTATATATATATATATATATATATATATATATATATATATATATATATATATATATATATATATAAAGACAAATAACATTTATACTATTATTGTAAATGTCTTCAGTAAAACTTTTGCATGGAACATATATATATATATATATATATATATATATATATATATATATATATATATATATAAGTTTGTGTGTATATATATATATATATATATATATATATATATATATATATATATATATATATATATATATATATATATATACAAAGACAAATAACATTTATACTATAATGCTTTTAATTGCATTTTTTCGTATTCTCATACAGTACTTTCGAAGAATTTTTTACTTCTATGCAGTTATTTAAATAAAAACAAAAAACAACGGGCCATTTTGTCACAAACTTCAATATTTCGATAGCCCGTTTGCAGTACAAGTGCGTTCTCCGTAGTGTTATGAAAGGATATTCGAGAAAGTTTAAGGAAGATCAGTTCCGCTTTTTTCTCTGATTTTTTTTTTTTGGACTCGCTGATGCCGATATTATTTTTGTGCTTTAAAAAATATGATGAGACATTTATTCTTTTAAAGAGATCTTTTTGTTTTAGTTAGTAAAGTAGCAAAACATTTATTACTACGACAACACGTTTTTTTTTAAATTTTGAGATGATATAATGTACGCAGTTAGCACTCTTATTATCTGTGTAAAGTAATATGTTCTGTTAAAATGATATATTTGAGTACAGTGATATATTCTGTGTAATCTGATATATTGTGTGTCCACTGATATATTCTATGCACAGCGATATATTTTGTGTCAACTGATATATTCTGTGTTCATTGATATATTTTGTTTCCAGTGATATATTCTGTGTACAATGATAAATATTTTGTACAGTGATATATTATGTGTACAGTGATATATTATATGTACAGTGAACTATTATGTGTAGAGTAATATATATTCTATGTACATAGATTTATAATGTGTACAATAATATGTTCAGTGTACATTGTATAATGTTAACAGTTTTTTTTTCTAGAAAAAAAACTTTGACTGGTCTGCTATTCTACAACAGCTTCCACAAGTAACAGTTGTATCGGTAATAATATTTAACATAAACAAAGACAAATAACGTTTATACTATTTTGCTTGTAAATGCATTGAAAATAAGACAGTTTGTCGTTAGTAAAAGCTTGATAATTTTACATCATTTTCTCATATTGCATATTCGAAGAATTTTTTACTTCTATGCAGTTTAGAAAGAAAAAAAAAGAAAAAACAACAACGGGCCATTTTGTCACAAACGTCTATATTTCTATTGTCCGTTTGCAATACATGTGCCATCTCTAAAGTGTTATAAAAGAATATACGAGAAAATTTAGGGAAGATCACTCCCGTGTATTTTTTCTGATATTCTGATGCCTATATCGATTTCGTGCTTTAAAAAATATGATAAGACATTTATTCTTTTAAAGATATCTTTTTGTTTTGGTTAGTACAGTAGCAAAACATTTATTACAATGACGACACTTTTTTCAAGATGAAATAATGTACGCAGCTAGCACTCATTTTATCTGTGTAAAGTAATGTTCTGTTAAAAATGACATTTTGTGTACATCGATATTTCTGTGTACTGCGATATATTGTGTCAAGTGATATATCGCAGTACAATGATATATTTTTGTACAGTGATATAATATGTGTTCAGTGATATATTATGTGTACAGTAATATATTCTATATACATAGATATAAACTATGTACACAAATATATTCAGTGTACAGTGAAGAATGTTAACAAGTGAGTTTATCTTTTTTTTTCTAGAAAAAAAACACCGACTGGTCTGCGATTCTACAACAGATTCAACCTCAAGTATTTTTGTCGGTAATAATATTTAACAAAGACAAATAACATTTATACAATTCTGTGTGCAATAATATATTGAATATATACACTGATAAATTATGTGTACAATGTTATATTCTGTTTACAATGATATAATCAGTGTACAGTGATATATTCAGTGTACAATGATATAATCTGTGTACAATGATATATTCAGTGTACATTGTAGAAAGTTTACATAGACGTTTATCTTTTTTTTCTAGAGAAAATGCACGAACTTTATGGATCTTCTACCAAATCTGCAAATATCGGTAATAATATTTAACAAGACATTTTTTTTAAATTTTAAAATGATATATTGTACGTATCTGGCACTCATAAAATCTTTGTAAATTAATATATTTTGTTGAAATTGATATATTCTGTGTCACAGTAATATGTTTTGTGTACAGTGATATATATTCTGTTTACAATGATATGTTCTGTACACATTGATATATTCTGTAGACTCTGATATATTCTGTGTACAGCGTAGAATGTTAACAAAGACGTTTTTTTTTCTAGAAAAAAAACATCGACTGGTCGGCTCTTCTACCACAGCTGCAAATATCGGTAAAAATATTTAACTGAAACAAAGACAAATAAATTTTATACAATTATGCTTTTAAAATGTACTGGAGTCAAGAAAAGCTCTCCTTAGTAAAAGCTTGATAATATTTTATCATATTCTCGTAGAATATATTAAAAGATTTTTTTTCACTACAGTGAAGTTTCTCGAAAAGAAACAACAACTAGCCGTTTTGTCCAAACTTCGATAATGACATGACATATTTTGTAATTTTAAAATGTTATTTTGTACGTATCTGGCACTCATAAAATCTTTGCAAATTAATATATTCTGTTGAAAATGATATATTCTCTGTACATTGAGATATTTTGTGTACTATGATATATTCTGTTTACAATGATATATTCTGTACACATTGATATATTCTGTACACTATGATATATTATGTGTACAGTGTAGAAAGTTAACAAAGACGTTTATCTTTTTTTTCTAGAAAAAATGCTCGGACTGGTCGTCTCTTCTACAACAACCTCAAATATCGGTAATAATATTTAACATAAACAAAGACAAATAAAATTTATACAAATATGCTTTTAATACACTGAAGTCAAGAAAAGCTCTCTTTAGTAAAAGCTTGATAATATTATATCATATTCTTATGAGCATATTCGTAGAATTTTTCACTTCTATGTAAATTGTTGAAAAAAAAAAAACAACAACAAAAAACAACGACCCTTTTTGTCAAAAGGTTTCAATATTTCTAAAGCCTGTTTACAATGCAAGTGCCATCTTAGTTTTGTGTATATATATATATATATATATATATATATATATATATATATATATATATATATATATATATATATATATATACATATATATATATATACATATATATATATATATATATATATATATATATATATATATATATATATATATATATATATATATATATATGTATATATAAAGCAAAGGGGTCGTGGGCACTTCCTGGCGCCGCAGTCGCTTCAAATTAGGCTCCTGCCTTGGGCCGACAGAATACGGTCGGCCACAAAATCCACGATTAAGGGGTCAAAACTGAGTTCCACAGACCGGCGCATTGTATGAGCTATGTATCGAAACAATCTTTTGCCGAACAACCGCCTTCCTTGATATTTTGTGAGGCCGTAAAAACGCATATGGATGTCAGAAAAAACTTACCATATTTGGGAAAAATCTGTAACGTGCTCACAACTGACCAGTCGTTTTTGCTATATAATCTTTGTAATGTATGTGAAAAACAAAGGATGATTTCAACACCGATTTTAAGGGACTTAAAAAATGACCGCGAGTGAAATTCTCCTTATATGAGCTACATTTCGGGAAAAAAACTTCTGCCCAAAAACACCCCTAGATATTTTGTGAAGTCGTAGACCGACAATGAAGGGTAACAAAACATTTTTTCCTAGGGCTGTTAGATTTGTCTAGATGCCTTATTTTCTTATATTAGCATGGCAATTATTTGTGAAAAAAATTTATTAAAGACTAAGTCATTCGGTCTATGTACAAGGGAGATAACGTTTTAAAGTAATAACTTCTTAATCAATTTTATACTATTTTAACCAAAAACAGAAAATGACAGATATATCATTTTTTAAGTAAACATTTCGTTATACATAATGATAATTGTGCTAATTGAATTGCAGAAATTAACTTTAAAAGTTTATGTAATACAATCTGTAGTTCTAATTACCTTGCTAGTAATACGTTTGAGAATATACCTTCATCGTATCTCAAACTCTAACATAAAATTACTGTTTAAACTTAGCACTCCACATAAAAGCCAATCACCAATTCATTAATGATTCATATTATCAAATGGTTTTTGAAAACCTAAGCAAAGCTAGGCAGTATGTCTAGTATTGGGTATATGAGAAAGCTTCGGGAATTCACTTTCGCTTGATTTTTTAAAGATTTTTTTTTTGACACCCTCATGCCTATATTATTTGTGTGTATAAAAAACTTTCACGACAAATTAATTTTTTAAAGCTATCTTTGTGTTTTGGCTAGCACAGTAGCAAAACAGTTATTAGTGATTAAAAAAAAACTATTTGTACATAGTCTTGCAAAGACAAGATATTTTTTTGTAATTTTGAAATGGTATATTGTACGTAGCTTGCACTAATCTAATCTAATATGTGTAAAGTAATATATTCCCTTACAAATGATATATTCTCTGTACAGGAACATTCTGTGTACAGCGATATATCATCTGAACCGTGATCTATACATTGTACAATGGTATATTCTATTAATAGTGAAATATTCTTTTTACACTGATATATTCTGTGTACTTCAAAATTTCTATTGGCCGTTTGCAGTGCAAGTGACATTCACTTTAGAGATATAAAATAGTGTTATAAAAATCTATACAATAATATTTAACAAGAAAAAATACAAATAACCTATTTACTATTATGCTTTAAAATGCATTGAAGATAAGAAAAGCTATATATTGTGTGTCCTGTGATATATCCTTTGTACATTGATATTATTTGTGTACAGTGAATTCTGTGGAAAGTAAAATATCCAGTGTACAGTGCTATATCCTTTGTACAGTGAAATATTCTGTGTGCAGTGAATTTTGTGTACAGTAATATAACATGCGTACAATGATATATTCTGTTTAAATTGATATATTCTATGTACAGACATATTTCCTGTGTACATTGATATATATATGATATATATATGTACATTGATATATATATATATATATATATATATATATATATATATATATATATATACTGTGTATATATACTGTGTATACTTATATATACACAGTATATTGTGAAATATTCTGTGTACACGATATATTTATTGTACAGTGATATATCCTCTCTAAAAGTAAAATATATCCTGTGTAAAATTATATATTCTATGTTCAATGATAAATCCTTTGTACGGTGGTATATTCTGTGTATAGTGATACATTATGTGTACACTGTAGAATGTTAAACATGACGTTTATCTTCTGTCATTTAGAGACGAGGCTATTTTGACAATTTGACACCAGAGCAGATTCAACAGCTTTCACAGATGATCCTAAGTTCATCGGTAATTTTCATTTAACAAAGAAATATAAACAAACCTTTATAAATAAGGTTATAAATGTTTTGAATATCAGAAAATCTTTTTTTTAGAAAACGCTAAGCCATAGAGTCCATGACCAAACAATGTGTTTACTAAAGAATGAAAATAATTTTTTTTGTTTTCTTGAATTAAAAAGACAAATCTTTTTTTACTTTATAGTATACAGAGTTTAAAAGCATTATTGTAATCGTGCAAAAAATTAAATTCGAGATTTTCACAAACTTTCGATGTTTTACACCTCCCTAAGTCAGAAAATATTAGTACTTGTAATCTTGTCCGTCTGTCTGTGTATACATGAACATGATAACTTGAGCACGGATTTTTAGCTTGGTCGAAAAATTTGATATATCATTATTATATCAAATTTTTTATTTTCTATAAACTTATCAGCGACTTTCAGTAAAAGTTTGTCATGGCTCGAAAACTATGAAATAAAATATTTCTTTAAGATGCTTAAATAGCTCTTCATAAATTAAATCACTATTTACTTCATAAATACCAATTTACCGAACTATAGCACACATATTCTTTGTGTTCATTTCGTTCGCATTTCGTTTTCTTACGCAACTCTATTCTATTTATAAAAAAAGACTAGACTACCCGTTATTCTTGAATAGCCGTGAGTTTCGGGAGTAATCCATAAGTGACGTGACGTTTGTTTGAAGATTTTTATCCTGCCCCTTCTCTTGCCCCACTGTCACAAATCGCTACAAAAAGTCAGACCCCACATTCAACAAGACGTCACACCTCAGGCAATATGTTATTGTCTTTTAAAAGCACAGATTTCGGCTAAGCATTTCCTATGTACATTGATGTTTCCTGTGTAAAGTGATATATTCTGTGTATAGTTATATATACACAGTATATTGTGAAATATCCTGTGTACAAGATATATTTTTTTCCATTTATATATCCTCTCTAAAAGTAATATATATCCGGTGTAAAATTATATATTCTGTGTTCAATAATAAATCCTTTGTACGGTGGTATATTCTGTGTACAGTTATATATTATGTGTACAGTTATATATTATGTGTACACTGTAGCATATTAACCATGACGTTGATCTTCTGTCATTTAGAGACGAGGTTTTATTGACAACTTCACACCAGAGCTGCTTCAACAGCTTTCACAGCTCCAAGCTATATCGGTAATTTTAATTTAACATAGAAATTAAATAACCTTTATAAATAATAAAAGGTTATAAATGTTTTGAATATCAGAAAATCTTTTTTTTTAGAAAATGCTAAGCCATAGAGTCCATGACCGAACAATGCTTTTACTAAAGAATGAAAATTAGTTTTTCTTGTTTGCTGCAATTAAAAAGACAAATCCTTTTTACTTTATCGTATACGGAGTTAAAAGAATTATTGTAATCGTGCAAAAAATTAAATTCGAGATTTTCACAAACTTTTGATGCTCTACACCTCCCTAAGTCAGAAAATATTAGTACTTGCAATCTTGTCCGTCTGTCTGTGTATACATGAACATAACAACTTGAGCACGGATTTTTAGCTTGGTCGAAAAATTTAATATATTATTATTATATCAAATTTATTTTTTTCTATACACTTTTCAGCGATTTTCAGCAAAAGTTTGTCAGGACTTGAAAATTATGATATAAAATATTTCTTTAAGATGCTTGATTACCATTTCATAAATTAATCACTATTTACTTTATAAATACCGATGCTTTTTAATAATATTTTATCGCTAAGACGCCCCACGGTGGCAATGTAAAAGACTAGAGTGAACGTTAATCACCCTCCTTAATAGTGAGGTAGAACAGACTTGAGCGACCGCCCAGGTGTAATGGATTAAGTGGGACGCACTTGGGAGCCACCGTTTACACTACCACAAGGGCGCGAGGGGGCGGTACATCCCCTGACTGTTTAATCATCGAATGTCGTATGCTACCGTGCCAATATTGTAGGGTGCTCTTTAAAACTAACGTAGGCTCCATAGTGCTCAGGGGATGGGGGGGGGGGGGGGACGCCAAATCGCCCCCTGCCCATCGCGTCCTTAGTTTATAACCGTTTTTTTACGAAACTTCTATTGTAACTGGAATTAATAAATTCTAGGTAAAGTGATATTAATTTTTATACAATGACTTCTGTGTATAGTGGTATATTCTGTGTTCAGTGTAGAATGTTAATAATGGCGTTTATCTTCTGTCATCTAGAAACGGAACTTCCCCCTCACTCCATTAACCTTGACCCCGGAGCAGCTTCAACTGCTTCAACAGTCCATGATGTTTTCGGTAAAGTACATCCGACTTACATTTTATCTATATTTTGTTTTCGGTAAAGTACACCCGACTTACATTTTATCTATATTTTTTTTGGTAAAGTACATCCGACTTACACTTTATCTATATTTTTTTTTGGTAAAGTACATCCGACTTACATTTTATCTATATTTTGTTTTCGGTAAAGTACACCCGACTTACATTTTATCTATATTTTTTTTGGTAAAGTACATCCGACTTACATTTTATCTATATTTTTTTTTGGTAAAGTACATCCGACTTACACTTTATCTATATTTTTTTGGTAAAGTACACCCGACTTACACTTTATCTATATTTTTTCGGTAAAGTACATCCGACTTACATTTTATCTATATTTTTTTTCGGTAAAGTACATCCGACTTACATTTTATCTATATTTTTTTTCGGTAAAGTACATCCGACTTACATTTTATCTCTATTTTTTTTCGGTAAAGTACATCCGACTTACATTTTATCTATATTTTTTTTTTTGGTAAAGTACATCCGACTTACATTTTATCTATATTTTTTCGGTAAAGTACATCCGACTTACATTTTATCTATATTTTTTTGGTAAAGTACATACGACTTACATTTTATCTATATTGGTTTTTTGTAAAGTACATCCGACTTACATTTTATCTATATTTGTTTTCGGTAAAGTACATCCGACTTACATTTTATCTATAGTTTTCGGTAAAGTACATCCGACTTACACTTTATCTATATTTTTTTTGGTAAAGTACATCCGACTTACATTTTATCTATATTTTGTTTTGGTAAAGTACATCCGACTTACATTTTATCTATATTTTGTTTTCGGTAAAGTACATCCGACTTACATTTTATCTATATTTTTTTTCGGTAAAGTACATCCGACTTACATTTTATCTATATTTTGATTTCGGTAAAGTACATCCGACTTACATTTTATCTATATTTTGTTTTCGGTAAAGTACACCCGACTTACATTTTATCTATATTTTTTCGGTAAAGTACATCCGACTTACATTTTATCTATATTTTTTTTTGGTAAAGTACATCCGACTTACATTTTATCTATATTTTTTTTGGTAAAGTACATCCGACTTACATTTTATCTATATTTTGTTTTCGGTAAAGTACATCCGACTTACATGTTATCTATATTTTTTTTGGTAAAGTACATCCGACTTACATTTTATCTATATTTGTTTTTTGTAAAGTACATCCGACTTACATTTTATCTATATTTTTTTTGGTAAAGTACATCCGACTTACATTTTATCTATATTTTTTTTGGTAAAGTACATCCGACTTACATTTTATCTATATTTTGTTTTGGTAAAGTACATCCGACTTACATTTTATCTATATTTTGTTTTCGGTAAAGTACATCCGACTTACATTTTATCTATATTTGTTTTTTGTAAAGTACATCCGACTTACATTTCATCTATATTTTTTTTGGTAAAGTACACCCGACTTACATTTTATCTATATTTTGTTTTCGGTAAAGTACATCCGACTTACATTTTATCTATATTTTTTTTGGTAAAGTACATCCGACTTACATTTTATCTATATTTTGTTTTCGGTAAAGTACATCCGACTTACATTTTATCTATATTTTGTTTTCGGTAAAGTACATCCGACTTACATTTTATCTATATTTTGTTTTCGGTAAAGTACATCCGACTTACATTTTATCTATATTTTGTTTTCGGTAAAGTACATCCGACTTACATTTTATCTCTATTTTTTTCGGTAAAGTACATCCGACTTACATTTTATCTATATTTGTTTTCGGTAAAGTACATCCGACTTACATTTTATCTATAGTTTTCGGTAAAGTACATCCGACTTACACTTTATCTATATTTTTTTTGGTAAAGTACATCCGACTTACATTTTATCTATATTTTGTTTTGGTAAAGTACATCCGACTTACATTTTATCTATATTTTGTTTTGGTAAAGTACATCCGACTTACATTTTATCTATATTTGTTTTTTGTAAAGTACATCCGACTTACATTTTATCTATATTTGTTTTTTGTAAAGTACATCCGACTTACATTTTATCTATATTTTTTTTGGTAAAGTACATCCGACTTACATTTTATCTATATTTTTTTTGGTAAAGTACATCCGACTTACATTTTATCTATATTTTGTTTTGGTAAAGTACATCCGACTTACATTTTATCTATATTTTGTTTTCGGTAAAGTACATCCGACTTACATTTTATCTATATTTGTTTTTTGTAAAGTACATCCGACTTACATTTCATCTATATTTTTTTTGGTAAAGTACACCCGACTTACATTTTATCTATATTTTGTTTTCGGTAAAGTACATCCGACTTACATTTTATCTATATTTTTTTTGGTAAAGTACATCCGACTTACATTTTATCTATATTTTGTTTTCGGTAAAGTACATCCGACTTACATTTTATCTATATTTTGTTTTCGGTAAAGTACATCCGACTTACATTTTATCTATATTTTGTTTTCGGTAAAGTACATCCGACTTACATTTTATCTATATTTTGTTTTCGGTAAAGTACATCCGACTTACATTTTATCTCTATTTTTTTTCGGTAAAGTACATCCGACTTACATTTTATCTATATTTGTTTTCGGTAAAGTACATCCGACTTACATTTTATCTATAGTTTTCGGTAAAGTACATCCGACTTACACTTTATCTATATTTTTTTTGGTAAAGTACATCCGACTTACATTTTATCTATATTTTGTTTTGGTAAAGTACATCCGACTTACATTTTATCTATATTTGTTTTTTGTAAAGTACATCCGACTTACATTTTATCTATATTTTTTTCGGTAAAGTACATCCGACTTACATTTTATCTATATTTTTTTTTGGTAAAGTACATCCGACTTACATTTTATCTATATTTTTTTTTTGTAAAGTACATCCGACTTACATTTTATCTATATTTTGTTTTCGGTAAAGTACATCCGACTTACATTTTATCTATATTTTTTTTTGGTAAAGTACACCCGACTTACATTTTATCTATATTTTTTTTTCGGTAAAGTACATCCGACTTACATTTTATCTATATTTTTTTTTGGTAAAGTACACCCGACTTACATTTTATCTATATTTTGTTTTCGGTAAAGTACATCCGACTTACATTTTATCTCAATTTTTTTTTTTCGGTAAAGTACATCCGACTTACATTTTATCTATACTTTTTTTGGTAAAGTACATCCGACTTACATTTTATCTATATTTTTTCGGTAAAGTACATCCGACTTACATTTTATCTATATTTTTTTTGGTAAAGTACATACGACTTACATTTTATCTATATTGGTTTTTTGTAAAGTACATCCGACTTACATTTTATCTATATTTGTTTTCGGTAAAGTACATCCGACTTACATTTTATCTATAGTTTTCGGTAAAGTACATCCGACTTACACTTTATCTATATTTTTTTTGGTAAAGTACATCCGACTTACATTTTATCTATATTTTGTTTTGGTAAAGTACATCCGACTTACATTTTATCTATATTTTGTTTTCGGTAAAGTACATCCGACTTACATTTTATCTATATTTTTTTTCGGTAAAGTACATCCGACTTACATTTTATCTATATTTTGATTTCGGTAAAGTACATCCGACTTACATTTTATCTATATTTTGTTTTCGGTAAAGTACACCCGACTTACATTTTATCTATATTTTTTCGGTAAAGTACATCCGACTTACATTTTATCTATATTTTTTTTTGGTAAAGTACATCCGACTTACATTTTATCTATATTTTTTTTGGTAAAGTACATCCGACTTACATTTTATCTATATTTTGTTTTCGGTAAAGTACATCCGACTTACATGTTATCTATATTTTTTTTGGTAAAGTACATCCGACTTACATTTTATCTATATTTGTTTTTTGTAAAGTACATCCGACTTACATTTTATCTATATTTTTTTTGGTAAAGTACATCCGACTTACATTTTATCTATATTTTTTTTGGTAAAGTACATCCGACTTACATTTTATCTATATTTTGTTTTGGTAAAGTACATCCGACTTACATTTTATCTATATTTTGTTTTCGGTAAAGTACATCCGACTTACATTTTATCTATATTTGTTTTTTGTAAAGTACATCCGACTTACATTTCATCTATATTTTTTTTGGTAAAGTACACCCGACTTACATTTTATCTATATTTTGTTTTCGGTAAAGTACATCCGACTTACATTTTATCTATATTTTTTTTGGTAAAGTACATCCGACTTACATTTTATCTATATTTTGTTTTCGGTAAAGTACATCCGACTTACATTTTATCTATATTTTGTTTTCGGTAAAGTACATCCGACTTACATTTTATCTATATTTTGTTTTCGGTAAAGTACATCCGACTTACATTTTATCTATATTTTGTTTTCGGTAAAGTACATCCGACTTACATTTTATCTCTATTTTTTTTCGGTAAAGTACATCCGACTTACATTTTATCTATATTTGTTTTCGGTAAAGTACATCCGACTTACATTTTATCTATAGTTTTCGGTAAAGTACATCCGACTTACACTTTATCTATATTTTTTTTGGTAAAGTACATCCGACTTACATTTTATCTATATTTTGTTTTGGTAAAGTACATCCGACTTACATTTTATCTATATTTGTTTTTTGTAAAGTACATCCGACTTACATTTTATCTATATTTTGTTTTCGGTAAAGTACATCCGACTTACATTTTATCTATATTTTTTTTTGGTAAAGTACATCCGACTTACATTTTATCTATATTTTTTTTTTGTAAAGTACATCCGACTTACATTTTATCTATATTTTGTTTTCGGTAAAGTACATCCGACTTACATTTTATCTATATTTTTTTTTGGTAAAGTACACCCGACTTACATTTTATCTATATTTTTTTTTCGGTAAAGTACATCCGACTTACATTTTATCTATATTTTTTTTTGGTAAAGTACACCCGACTTACATTTTATCTATATTTTGTTTTCGGTAAAGTACATCCGACTTACATTTTATCTCAATTTTTTTTTTTCGGTAAAGTACATCCGACTTACATTTTATCTATACTTTTTTTGGTAAAGTACATCCGACTTACATTTTATCTATATTTTTTTTGGTAAAGTACATCCGACTTACATTTTATCTATATTTTGTTTTCGGTAAAGTACATCCGACTTACATTTTATCTCTATTTTTTTTTCGGTAAAGTACATCCGACTTACATTTTATCTCTATTTTTTTTCGGTAAAGTACATCCGACTTACATTTTATCTATATTTTTTTTGGTAAAGTACATACGACTTACATTTTATCTATATTGGTTTTTTGTAAAGTACATCCGACTTACATTTCATCTATATTTTTTTTGGTAAAGTACACCCGACTTACATTTTATCTATATTTTGTTTTCGGTAAAGTACATCCGACTTACATTTTATCTATAGTTTTCGGTAAAGTACACCCGACTTACATTTTATCTATATTTTGATTTCGGTAAAGTACATCCGACTTACATTTTATCTATATTTTGTTTTCGGTAAAGTACACCCGACTTACATTTTATCTATATTTTTTCGGTAAAGTACATCCGACTTACATTTTATCTATATTTTTTTTTGGTAAAGTACATCCGACTTACATTTTATCTATATTTTTTTTGGTAAAGTACATCCGACTTACATTTTATCTATATTTTGTTTTCGGTAAAGTACATCCGACTTACATGTTATCTATATTTTTTTTGGTAAAGTACATCCGACTTACATTTTATCTATATTTGTTTTTTGTAAAGTACATCCGACTTACATTTTATCTATATTTTGTTTTCGGTAAAGTACATCCGACTTACATTTTATCTATATTTGTTTTTTGTAAAGTACATCCGACTTACATTTCATCTATATTTTTTTTGGTAAAGTACACCCGACTTACATTTTATCTATATTTTGTTTTCGGTAAAGTACATCCGACTTACATTTTATCTATATTTTTTTTGGTAAAGTACATCCGACTTACATTTTATTTATATTTGTTTTTTGTAAAGTACATCCGACTTACATTTTATCTCAATTTTTTTTTTCGGTAAAGTACATCCGACTTACATTTTATCTATATTTTTTTTGGTAAAGTACATCCGACTTACATTTTATCTATATTTTTTTTGGTAAAGTACATCCGACTTACATTTTATCTATATTTTGTTTTCGGTAAAGTACATCCGACTTACTTTTTATCTCTATTTTTTTTTCGGTAAAGTACATCCGACTTACATTTTATCTATATTTTTTTTGGTAAAGTACATCCGACTTACATTTTATCTATATTTTTTTTGGTAAAGTACACCCGACTTACATTTTATCTATATTTTTTCGGTAAAGTACATCCGACTTACATTTTATCTATATTTTTTTTGGTAAAGTACATCCGACTTACATTTTATCTATATTTTGTTTTCGGTAAAGTACATCCGACTTACATTTTATCTATATTTGTTTTTTGTAAAGTACATCCGACTTACATTTCATCTATATTTTTTTTGGTAAAGTACACCCGACTTACATTTTATCTATATTTTGTTTTCGGTAAAGTACATCCGACTTACATTTTATCTATATTTTTTTTGGTAAAGTACATCCGACTTACATTTTATTTATATTTGTTTTTTGTAAAGTACATCCGACTTACATTTTATCTCAATTTTTTTTTCGGTAAAGTACATCCGACTTACATTTTATCTATATTTTTTTTGGTAAAGTACATCCGACTTACATTTTATCTATATTTTTTTTGGTAAAGTACATCCGACTTACATTTTATCTATATTTTGTTTTCGGTAAAGTACATCCGACTTACTTTTTATCTCTATTTTTTTTTCGGTAAAGTACATCCGACTTACATTTTATCTATATTTTTTTTGGTAAAGTACATCCGACTTACATTTTATCTATATTTTTTTTGGTAAAGTACACCCGACTTACATTTTATCTATATTTTTTCGGTAAAGTACATCCGACTTACATTTTATCTATATTTTTTTTGGTAAAGTACATCCGACTTACATTTTATCTATATTTTTTTTGGCAAAGCACATCCAATATTACATTTTCATCTCTAATCTTGTTGGTAAAGTACATTCAAATTACATTTTTATCTCTATTCTTTAGACTAATAACGTATATATAATATAACTACTTTAATTTTAAAAATTCCTAATTGCTAAATTTTTTTTTAGAAAAAACAAATAAACAAAAAAAATAAAGAACAAGTATCATTCAAGTTTTTATCAAAATGCCCTTCTATTTTCGACAGAAGCGCAATATGAACAAAACAATAAACAATATATGAACAATAAACAAAACAAACACTAAACAAATAAATAATATATTATATATTGAATATATATTGAACATGGTTCCCAGAAAAATGCGCAATCGGAAAACTGCGTGACGGAAAACTGCGCAAACAGGAAAAAGCGCAAATAAAACTAATTATAATTACAGACTTTAATTTTGTCCTCTCGCGGAAATATGCATATATGGTGTGTAATCAGTGGCGTAGCGAGGTCGGGTGTCACCCGGTGCGGCACTTAATGGTGTCACCCCCCCCCCCCCCCCCCCCAGAGGCGTTGCGACCCTTCCCGGGGACAAACTTTCAAGTTTTCGATTTGCACCCCCCCCCTCAAGTTTTCGATTTGCACCCCCCTCAAGTTTTTCTCTTTATATCTTGCTATTTTATGCCTTGGTGCCACCCCCCCTAAATGGTGTCACCCGGTGCGGTCCGCACCCCCCGCCCCCCCCTCGCTACGCCCCTGTGTGTAATTAACTTGTCCGAACCTTTTTATTCCAGCGCACGCTATGAGATATCTTGAAATCTTTCGCAAAGTTTGGACAGTGAATGTAACTCAACGCTTCGATGGGAAACCACACTATGTCTGACGATTGTAAAAGAAAAAGTCAACAGTTGCGTTTCAAGAAAATAAATAATCGAACACATAAAGCTTTTTGTTCATTTTTAAATCCATCACTACCGTTCTTACATAAATGCAAAATATGTGTTTTGTTTTTGGCCTGTTGACAAATATTAAGTACTGAGACAAGCCACGTCGTCCACATTAGGCTAATGATGATTGCTAGGATTGTTGCTACACCTTTTCATCTTTCTTTCTACTTTCAGGGAGCGGAGCCCCTTAAATACGTTAGCAACGTTTGATCATTGAACAAACATAAATCAACAGCCAATAAACGAAAGATAACAACAGATTTGTGTGTAATACTTTATTTTACAATATTTTCTGTAACAAGATTCATGGGCCGAAAATTGCGAGTAAAATTTCAACCCTTTCTAACGGACCGATTTATTTCAAAGTTGACAAGTAGGTTAAAACCCGGTGTCATTTCAACGGGACATTGAAATTATTAAATGTGTAATAAACTTTAAAGAAATAGTTAGAAATAAAATATTGCTACTTAGAATGTAAAACTTATAGCTCTATGTCATACACTTCGTTGCGTAAATTTAGTGCGCAAGTGTTTTTTTTTGTGATTAAATTCTATTAAAATTTAAAAACATAATTTAATAGAGCGGGAGTGATCCCCCCTAAACTTTCTCGAATATTTTTATACAACACTTTGGGGAATGGCAACTCGGGATATAGACATGATTTGTAATCAATTTTTACTTTATCGTTTACGAATTATAGAGGAAGTAGTGTACTCGTGCAAAAAAATCGAAATCGAAATTTTCACAAAGCTTGACGTTTTACACCTAAGTCGGAAAAACCCAGTTTTGCAATTTTGTCCGTATGTCTGTGTGTGTGTGTGTGTGTATGTGTGTGTGTGTGTGTATGTCTGTGAACACGATAACCTGAGTAACGTTACAGCTAGGGTTGAAATTTGATATATAAATGTATTATCAAATTTGTTGTTCTGTATCAACATTTCAGCGGTTTCCGGTAACCGGAAGTGGAACCTATTCTACTTTTAATTTTTCAGATAGATAAACGAAATTTCACAAATAAGTAAAAGATCTAATTTTCTGTCTTCTACCAAAGTTTTAGTAATTTCCGTTGACCAGAAGTAGTACTTTACGCTATTTTGGATTTCTCAAGAAACGCATATGAATTTATAAAGTACTAGTGTTCCGCACTATTATACACATATTGTTTGCCGTGCACTTTAATAAAAATCATGTCTGTATCACGATTTGATATCCCCGTCGTATTATATAAGAATATTCGAGAAAGTTTAGGGGAAAGCTTTAGCTGAAAAGTTGACTAAGAACTACAAATTTGATATAATACTCATTTTTGAAATTTCATCAGTCTAGCTGTAACGGTACTCAAGTTATCGTGTTCACTGACACACATACACACACAGACGTACGGACAAGATTGCAAAAAAAAATTTCCAACTCAAGGAGGTGTAAAACATCAATATTTATAAAAAATCTAGAATTTTTTTTTTTTTGCACGATTACATTACTATCTCTATACTTCGTATACGAGAGAGTAAAAAGGTAGTGAAAAGGTTTATAGCAATAAAATCTTATTAGCGACCGTAGCTTTTCTTAGAGTTTTTAAAAAATGCATTATCATATATTCAAAGAAAATTATTTTATTTCATTTCTTTTAGTACATATATAAACGCATTTTTATTATAAACTTTAAAAAAATTAAATTTAAAGTAAATAAATATGTGTCGGGGAAAAAAAGGAAATTTTTACGTGCTCCAGGGGTGGGTGGTGTTCTCATGGGGTGGGTGGTGTTCTCATGGGGTGGGTGGTGTTCTCATGGGGTGGGTGGTGTTCCCATGGGGTGGGTGGTGTTCCCATGGGGTGGGTGGTGTTCCCATGGGGTGGGTGGTGTTCCCAGGGGGTGGGTGGTGTTCCCATGGGGTGGGTGGTGTTCCCCGGGAGAGACGCCTAAAAAAACCGACTGGGACGTGGATCTGTACATGTTGTAAGTGCCGAGTATCCGCATCGAAAAAAGTAAAATGTAAAAAAAAATAATTGCATGATATATAATTATATGCAAGAGAAAAACGTAGAGTCAAACAAAAATGGTCGCAGTATCCACTTACTGAGTTGTATGTACATATGAGGCCAACATCCAGAGTAGCACTCACATACAACCAACCATTCAGCAACACATAAATATATACATTTTTTGATCAGGTTGAAACACACAAACAAACATACAACATATACTTTTAAAAAACGTTAGCATCAAACATTTTACCATCCATTTCATAACAAAAAACAAAATCGTTAACAATACATACATTATTGTGGATAAATTATCCGGAAGTTAAGATTTATAAAATCATAAAATTTTACTTTAATGAAAATACTGTCACTTTCTAAACACTGAATCCCTTTCTTCAGTTCCTCCATGTTCTATAGACCACAACTTGAGAACCACTGGTTCAAGACGCTGTGGGTCAGTCTGATCCACCGCTGGAGTCTCTCAGAGGTTCTCTTCTCTTCTGATACCGGTTGTCTCGAGCGGTCAAACGGTGTCATAGTTTCGTCTGTTGTTCTTTAGCTGAACTCTGAGACAATAGGGGATACACTTTTAAATTATTTCGATAGTGGAGGCTTAAATTATTGAATATTTGAGAATTAAAGGTCCACATGTAGGGCTAGAAATAATAGGAAATCAAGGCACGACCAAGGGTATTATCAAGATTATGTTGGTGGGGTGGGGTGGCGTGGGGTGGCTTGGGGTGGGGTGTTTCAGATTTCTTGGTGGCCTGGTGACATTGACAGTTTTGTAAGCTGTAAAAACGACAACACCGCGTCTTCACCAATAGTTGAAGCTTAACTTGAGAGATGTGGGTGGTGGGGGAGGGGGGGGGGCTGTCCATTGGGAAGGATTACCCCACCCCCCGACCCCTCGAAAATAGGCGCGTCCCACGACGACAAGAAAAAGCGTGTGCCACAGTCAAAACAGAATTGGTTGGCTCATAAAAGATAGGGGGGCCCAAAACTGGGAACATACAGAAGGCCCACAGGAAAATTGTGGTAAGACCTAAAAGAAGAAGCGACAGCGTATGTCCCAGAACTACACATGGTATACCTCTAATACAATAGAGGGTATACGCCCAGTATAATACCAGATATACCAAGCGCCAGACAGGGTATATCGCAACAGCTCAAAAAAAGTGTAGCTTCCCTGTACAAGACAGGGTATACCTCAACGCAAGACAGGGTATACGCCTAGAACAAGACAATATACCTAGCGCAAGACAAGGTAAGACCAATATACAAGACAGATATGCCGATATTGCTACCAATTAGGAGACTTAACCAAAGACCGAATTCTTTAAACAATAAGCTCTACCTCGTTGCCTCGTTATGGATGTAATACGTGGCGGAAGTGACGTCACACTTCAACTTGACCCTGATGTCAGCGCAGGTCAACTTCCTGTACACCTGTGTTCAATAGATTAGACACAAAACCAAGGTTGAAAGAAATATCTCGTACACTGCTTCGATTAAAGGGAAACAACCTACTGATAAGATAAAAATAAACTGAACAGGCTTGTCCCCCTTTAGGCTGACATTTATAAACAGCGACCGACTTCCGATTTGACTCTGGCTCGTGACTTGCCCTATCAGAGCTCTCCTTTACTTAATTTGATCGTAGTGCCCTGTCCTCGTTAATTATAATTGCACGACATCTAGCCAGGGGAGGTAATGCTGTTTTAAAAAAAGTTTTTTTAACCCTATGTTATCCTGATGGGTTTTCTTACAGTAGTTAATGATGGCTAAAACATCAAATTTGTTATTTCAAGAATCCATTTAAATAACATTTCAAATTCAAGGAGACCTTGTAACTGGGAACAATTAACTAATCTTTTAACAGGGAACATACAACTGACGATGTAACATGGGAACACAATTGATCTTGTAACTGGGAACAATCTTTTAACAAGGAACACAGCACTAATGTTTTAACAGAGAACATACAACTCAAATGACCTTGTAACAAGGAACACAGCACTAATTTTGTAATAGGGAACACACAACAAACCTTTTAACAAGGAACACAGATGATCTTGTAAAAGGGAACACACAAATGACCATGTAACTATGAACACACACCTAACCTTATAACAGAGAACACAAAACTGACCTTCTAACAGGGAACACTAACTAACCTGACCTTCTAACAGGGAACACACAACTAACCTTGTAACAGGGAACAAAGAGCACCCAACAGATACACAGGAAGAGGATCCACTTGGGGCTGCAGTCGAGGCTGTGGTTGTAGAGGGTGTGGTTGGTCACGCACAGTCTCGTCCGGCGAGACTTAAGCGAGTGGATGTCGTCACAGCTCGTGATGGCGTCCCTGACCTCCATGTACCAGTCCAGGAGCAGCTCGCTGATGTCCAGCTAGGATTAGGATTAGGATTAACTCAATGATGTCCAGCTAGGATTAGGGTTAGGATTAGCTCGCTGATGTCCAGCTAGGATTAGGATTAGCTCAATGATGTCCAGCTAGGATTAGGATTAGCTCAATTATGTCCAGCTAGGATTAGGATTAGCTCAATTATGTCCAGCTAGGATTAGGATTAGGATTAGCTCGCTGATGTTCAGCTAGGATTAGGATTAGGATTAGCTCAATGATGTCCAGCTAGGATTAGGATTAGCTCGCTGATGTCCAGCTAGGATTAGAATTAGGATTAGCTCGCTGATGTCAAGCTAGGATTAGGATTAGGATTAGAGATATGAGTTAAGTTAATGAGTCGAAGACAGCTTACTAGGATTAGGATTAGGATTAGTTCGCAGATGTCCAGCTAGGATTAGGATTAGAGACATGAGTTAACTTAACAGGACATATTAGTCTATAGGTAACAGCAGTTAACTATACTCTGCTAATTGGATTTATTTTTCAATAAAAAAAACAACAACAATCGACATCTAAGTTTATGTTTTAACTATTTTAATTACATCGCTGTATGTTAGAAATAGAAGCCTAACTGACCAAACCCTACTTCTAATAATGTCCTGACCTTAATCGAAACAACGACTTACAAGAAAAACAGCTTTAAAATAGCCCTTCGTTAAAATCCATAACTATTGCCTTGTCGGCGCTTACAAAAGCCTCAAGTAATCTTACAGAGATCACAAAACGCCACTTGCTCAGCGGTGGAGGAACAGACGTACAGGATACTGCGTTTCCATTACTCTGTATTGATGAAAGACAGGTCGAAAAAGGATTTCGTGGGGAGTAGGGTGGGGGAGGGTGTGGGGGAGGGTGTCGATCAAGTGGTTTGAATGCTGTTGTTTTTCTTTGCTGATCCTTAAATGGGGTAAAGTCTAGCTATTGTTACCCATGTAGCGTTTAATTCATGATGCGAAAATCCTGTGCGAAATGTGGGCCTCTAAGAACGGCGAGCAACCTTTCTTATTCCTTGGCCGCGGCCATCTTGGAATAACAGCCGAGTGCTGACCAATCAGCGGAGCGGAAACCTGATTTCGTCGGCCCCATCAAGACTCGTTAGAGAGCGACGCTGCCATTGGTCGGAGTTCATTGCGTGATAAGTAAAGCCCGGATGTCTGTCCAGCAGTGGTGAAAGCTGGCTCTATATAAAGCTGATGTGGCTCTATATAAAGCTGATGTGGCTCCAAATAAAGCTGATGTGGCTGTATATAAAGCTGATGTGGCTCCATATAAAGCTGATGTGGCTCTATATAAAGCTGATGTGGCTGTATATAAAGCTGATGTGTCTCCATATAAAGCTGTTGTGGCTCTATATAAAGCTGATGTGGCTCTATATAAAGCTGATGTGGCTCCATATAAAGCTGATGTGACTCCATATAAAGCTGATGTGGCTCCATAAAAAGCTGATGTGGCTCTATATAAAGGTGATGTGGCTCCATATAAAGCTGATGTGGCTAAATATAAAGATGATGTGGCTCCATTTAAAGATGATGTGGCTCTATATAAAGGTGATGTGGCTCCATATAAAGCTGATGTGGCTCTATATAAAGCTGATGTGGCTCCATATAAAGCTGATGTGGCTCCATATTAAGCTGATGTGGCTCTATATAAAGCTGATGTGGCTCTATATAAAGCTGATGTGGCTCTATATAAAGCTGATGTGGCTCCATATAAAGCTGATGTAGCTCTATAATAAAGCTGATGTGGCTCTATATAAAGCTGATGTGGCTCCATATAAAGCTGATGTGGCTCTATATAAAGCTGTTGTGACTCTATATAAAACTGATGTGGCTCTATATAAAGCTGATGTGGCTCTATATAAAGATGATGTGGCTCCATATAAAACTGATGTGGCTCGATATAAAGCTGTTGTAGCTCTATTTAAAGCTGATGTGGTTGTATATAAAGATGATGTGGCTCCATATAAAGCTGATGTGGCTCTATATAAAGCTTATGTGGCTCTATATAAAGCTGATGTGGCTCTATATAAAGCTGATGTAGCTCTATAATAAAGCTGATGTGGCTCTATATAAAACTGATGTGGCTCCATATAAAGCTGTTGTGGCTCTATATAAAGATTATGTGGCTCCATATAAAGATGATGTGGCTCCATATAAAGCTGATGTGGCTCCATATAAAGCTGATGTGGCTCAATATAAAGCTGATGGGGCTCCATTTAAAGCTGATGTGGCTCCATATAAAGCTGATGTGGCTCCATATAAAGCTGATGTGGCTCTACATAAAGCTGATGTGGCTCTATATAAAGCTGATGTGGCTCTATATAAAGCTTATGTGGCTCTATATAAAGCTGTTGTAGCTCTATATAAAGCTGATGTGGTTGTATATAAAGATGATGTGGCTCCATATAAAGCTGATGTGGCTCGATATAAAGCTGATGTGGCTCTATATAAAGCTGATGTGGCTCTATATAAAACTGATGTGACTGTCTAAAATGGATGTGGCCCCTACCTAAATATTGTTGTGGCCCCGTTTAAAGCTTATGTGGCCCTATATAGAATTGAGGTGGCTCCGTCTAAAATCTTAGGCTAAAATTGATGAAGCACCATTTTAAATTGTTGTGGCCCCCACCTGCATATTGATAAGGTTCTGTATACTCACTCAATACCAAACTAAAAAAAAACAGCTCAGTCGTTTTTACAGTATTTTCAACTTCTGTCTTACACCAATTTATGATTGTATGTCGGTTTGACCCAAATGTTAATAAAAATGACGAAAGTAGTTCATTAAAGCCCCATAAAGCTGCGGATCATATCAGAATATTCATTTTACTCCAGGAGTTTTTTTTGGTAATGTGATGACATGTACATGTCATGTAAGCATTTTGCATGTCTTCATGTCATTTGAATAACAGGTAAAGTAGAGTCTAGCTGTTGTTTGTTTGTGTGTATGCGTGTAGCTCACCTCAAAACAGAAATGCTGGTTCCGGTTGAGGTACCTCATAGAAACCTGGAAACCGGAAGCGATCTGCTGCCGGATGGACGGATGTTGACCGTTGACCAGGACGGCGAAATCATCTGGGAGTGGAGAGCAGGGGATGGTTAGAGTTAGGATTATGTGGGTTATTGATATCAGGGGATGGTTACAGGAAAGTTCTATTGGTTTAAGTTTATTGAAATCGATGCTAAACCTCAACCACCCTCAATTCCTCCCCCAACTAATCTCACCCTCCACAATGCTGCAACTACCCCACCTCCCAACCCAATCTTCACCTCCTCCACCCTAACCCCATCTCGCCCTCACAATACTGTCCCCACCCCTTCTCACCCTCCACAATACCGACCTTTCCCCATCACACCCCCACCCCCTCTCACCCTTCACAATGCTAACCCCCACCCCCACCCCCTCTCACCCTTCACAATGCTGACCCCCACCCCAACCCATCTCACCCTCCACAATGCTGAACCCCACCCCATCTCACCCTCCACTATGCTGACCCCCAACCCCTTCTCACCCTCCATAATGCTGACCCTCCCCCACCCTCCCACCACCCAATCTCATCCTCCATAATGCTGAACCCCACCCCACCCCAATTCACCCACCTCAATGCTGACCCCCACCCCATCTCACCCACCTCAATACTGACCCTCCCCCACCCCCACCCCACCCCATCTCACCCTCCACAATACTGAACCACCCCCACCCCTTCCCCTCACCCTCCACAATGTCGACCCTCCCCCCACCCCCAACGTCACCACCACCCCACCCCACCCCATCTCAACCTCCACAATACTGACCCTCCCCCACCCCCACCCCCACCCCACCCCATCCCACCCTCCATAATGTCGACCCTCACTCACCCCCACCCCACCCCCTCTCACCCTCCACAATGCCGACCCTCCCCCCACCCCCACCCCCAAGGTCACCACTACCCTCACCCCACCCCACCCCCTCTCACCCTCCACAATGCCGACCCTCCCCCCACCTCACCCCAAGGTCACCCCTACCTTCACCCCACACCACCCCCTCTCCCCCTCCCCAACCTCTCTCACCCTCCACAATGCCGACCCTCCCCCACCCCCAAGGTCACCACTACCCTCACCCCACCCCACCCCCTCTCACCCTCCACAATTCTGACCCCCACCCCCTCTCACCCTCCACAATTCTGACCCCCACCCCTCTCACCCTCCACAATTCTGACCCCAACCCCCTCTCACCCTCCACAATGCTGACCCTCTCCCCCTCCCCCACCCACCCCACCCTCCACAATACTGACCCCCACCCCCTCTCACCCTCCACAATGCTGACCCCAACCCCCTCTCACCCTCCACAATGCTGACCCTCTCCCCCACCCCCACCCCCTCTCACCCTCCACAATGCAGACCCCCACCGCCTCTCACCCTCCACAATGCTGACCCCCACCCCCTCTCACCCTCCACAATGCTGACCCTCTCCACGCTGTACTTGCTGGAAATCTCCGTGTGGTAGATGGTGATGCGCATCAGCAACATCCGCCTCAAGAACATCTCATGCACTAGTGCCAGCTGATCCTGTGTGCTGGTCGTCAGGACCACGTTGTCCCTGGGGGGGGGGGGGGGGGGGAGGGTTAGATGGGTGAGGGGTTAGAATAAATTGTGTGGGCAAAACATATAGAACATATTCTGTGGGAGGGAGGAGTCGACGAGATGTGGGGAAGAAATTGTGTGGGGCAAGAGTTTCTTATTATGTGGGAGAAAAGTACGAGTTGTGTGGAATATATTGTGTGGGCAAAAAGTTTATATTGTGTGGGCCAAAAGTTTTATATTGTGTGGGACAAGAGTTTTATATTGTGTGGGCCAAAGGTTTTATATTGTGTGGGCCAAAAGTTTTATATTGTGTGGGCCAAAAGTTTTATATTGTGTGGGAAAAAGTTTTATATTGTGTGGGCCAAGAGTTTTATATTGTGTGGGCCAAAAGTTTTATATTATGTGGGCCAAGAGTTTTATATTGTGTGGGCCAAAGGTTTTATATTGTGTGGGCCAAGAGTTTTATATTGTGTGGGCCAAAAGTTTTATATTGTGTGGGCCAAAAGTTTTATATTGTGTGGGCCAAAAGTTTTATATTGTGTGGGCCAAAAGTTTTATATTGTGTGGGCCAAAAGTTTTATATTGTGTGGGGCAAGAGTTTTATATTGTGTGGGAAAAAGTTTTATATTGTGTGGGAAAAAGTTTTATATTGTGTGGGCCAAGAGTTTTATATTGTGTGGGAAAAAGTTTTATATTGTGTGGGCCAAAAGTTTTATATTGTGTGGGGCAAGAGTTTTATATTGTGTGGGCCAAGAGTTTTATATTGTGTGGGCCAAAAGTTTTATATTGTGTGGGCCAAGAGTTTTATATTGTGTGGGCCAAAAGTTTTATATTGTGTGGGCCAAGAGTTTTATATTGTGTGGGCCAAAAGTTTTATATTGTGTGGGCCAAGAGTTTTATATTGTGTGGGCCAAAAGTTTTATATTGTGTGGGCCAAAAGTTTTATATTGTGTGGCTAAGAGTTTTATATTGTGTGGGCCAAGAGTTTTATATTGTGTGGGAAAAAGTTTTATATTGTGTGGGCCAAAAGTTTTATATTGTGTGAGCCAAGAGTTTTATATTGTGTGGGCCAAGAGTTTTATATTATGTGGGCCAAGAGTTTTATATTGTGTGGGCCAAAGGTTTTATATTGTGTGGGCCAAGAGTTTTATATTGTGTGGGCCAAAAGTTTTATATTGTGTGAGCCAAGAGTTTTATATTGTGTGGGCCAAGAGTTTTATATTATGTGGGCCAAGAGTTTTATATTGTGTGGGCCAAAGGTTTTATATTGTGTGGGCCAAGAGTTTTATATTGTGTGGGAAAAAGTTTTATATTGTGTGGGCCAAAAGTTTTATATTGTGTGGGCCAAGAGTTTTATATTGTGTGGGCCAAAAGTTTTATATTGTGTGGGCCAAAAGTTTTATATTGTGTGGCTAAGAGTTTTATATTGTGTGGGCCAAGAGTTTTATATTGTGTGGGAAAAAGTTTTATATTGTGTGGGCCAAAAGTTTTATATTGTGTGGGCCAAAAGTTTTATATTGTGTGGGCCAAGAGTTTTATATTGTGTGGGCCAAAAGTTTTATATTGTGTGGGCCAAAAGTTTTATATTGTGTGGGCCAAGAGTTTTATATTGTGTGGGCCAAAAGTTTTATATTGTGTGGGCCAAAAGTTTTATATTGTGTGGCTAAGAGTTTTATATTGTGTGGGCCAAAAGTTTTATATTGTGTGGGCCAAAAGTTTTATATTGTGTGGGCCAAGAGTTTTATATTGTGTGGGCCAAGAGTTTTATATTGTGTGGGCCAAAAGTTTTATATTGTGTGGGCCAAAAGTTTTATATTGCGTTAACAGGTGTACAAGATGTGGGTAATAAATTATGTGCGCCAAGTGTCACATACTGTGTACTCAAACAGACACTCGCAAGTACTCACATACACGCGAGCACGCTAGCATACTCTCAAACAAAACAAACATTGAACATTTGAGAGCATTTTGGTCAGTTTTCCCCTCCCCTAAACTACGCCTAGAAGAAAGTAATGCAGTTTTTCTCCCTTTAAATTTCTTAACTATTAGAAAATAATTTATTCATTAAAAAAACATAAGTTTTAACAACTAATTTTTTTTTAAATTTACAGCAAAAAAAAAATTGCCTGCTATTTTCAAAACAAAGGACTTATTTCCAGGATCTTTTTCGTCGTTGAGTATAACAGAGCGTACTTTCTCATCACTAAAAGACTTTCTTTCAATTACAAAACAGTTTTATTTTCAATTTTACGCAAGTACATCAACATCAGCATCGATTACATAATTTTCAAACATCAAATTAATAATGTCCTGTTTGTGGTGACAGCTAATTCAAAACACATAATCTAAATGGCATATCAAAATTTAAAAATATATTTTAAAATACTTAAAACTTATGAAATTTATATTTCTTAAGGGTTTAATCAAAATAGAATATATCCGATTTATATACAAAATGGTAACAAAACTGTTTAAAAAGTAACGTATAAATTAAAAATGATTTAAAATATCCAAACTTACTTGTAAACATCAACAATGACGTCATCAATTGCCGTTGATTGGGTGAGATTGATCACGTGGCGCTTATCATAGATTAGCTCCCCTGATTTACTGTTACTAAATATAGTATGTAGCCGTGATGGGTGCGCGATGAACTCCGCCCATCCAAGCACACGGAGCGCTTGATTGCTCATCTCCATATCTTGGGCTATTTTTAGACCATCGTTATTCTCCTCGTCAATACAATACACACGCCATCCATGGTCATCAGATCGGTGTTTTTATCTAGAATATTCCGATAGATGGTATTTCATTGAACAAGACATTTTTATTGTCATAAAAGTAAATGTATAAGTTGAAAAAAAAATTAGATCTGCAGTAAATTTGTAGGCTATAATATATCAAAATGTGCGGCCCGCAAACGAAAAAAAAAAACAATATCCTGTACGTAGCTAGGTCCGTAATTAAATGTTTTCCGCTTATGATTAAAAAAAAAATATTGTGAGGTGAATTTTGGTTTCAAGCACTTGTCAGCATGGTGCTCTTTAATTAAATAAAGGAATGTGGCTCTTTAATGAAATGTGGCTCTTTAACAGAGAGGGGCTCTTTATTATAATGTGGCTCTTTATTATAATGTGGCTCTTTATTATAATGTGGCTCTTTATTATAATGTGGCTCTTTATTATAATGTGGCTCTTTATTATAATGTGGCTCTTTATTATAATGTGGCTCTTTATTATAATGTGGCTCTTTATTATAATGTGGCTCTTTATTATAATGTGGCTCTTTATTTTAATGTGGCTCTTTATTATAATGTGGCTCTTTATTATAATGTGGCTCTTTATTATAATGTGGCTCTTTATTATAATGTGGCTCTTTATTATAATGTGGCTCATTATTATTATAATGTGGCTCATTATTATTATAATGTGGCTCTTTATTATAATGTGGCTCTTTATTATAATGTGGCTCTTTATTATAATGTGGCTCTTGATCAGAATGGGATCTTCAAAAAAGAAATGTTTTTTTTTTAATGAATTCGGCTCTTTAATGAAATGTGGCTCTTTAATGAAATGTGGCTCTTTAATGAAATGTGGCTCGTTAATGAAATGTGGCTCGTTAATGAAATGTGGCTCGTTAATGAAATGTGGCTCGTTAATGAAATGTGGCTCGTTAATGAAATGTGGCTCTTTAATGAAATGTGTCTCTTTAATGAAATGTGGCTCTTTAATGAAATGTGGCTCTTTAATGAAATGTGGCTCTTTAATGAAATGTGGCTCTTTAATGAAATGTGGCTCTTTAATGAAATGTGGCTCTTTAATGAAATGTGGCTCTTTAATGAAATGTGGCTCTTTAATGAAATGTGGCTCTTTAACAGAATGTGTATCTGAAAAAAAAGGATGTGGCTTTTTAAAGGAATTCGAAGGGGGGGGGGGAGAGGGAAGGAGAGCTGTGGTAATACATCTAGTTGCTCAACAAGGGGTAATGTTTGACTATTTTCTGTTTATCGTGGAAGGGAAATGATTTAAAGTGAAGGAGGGGTTAATTAACATAATTGTCCTACACTGGGATCAAAGAAAAAAACTTTACAATATAAAATAAAATAAAACATAAAATAACAGTGTTAATTAACATCCTTTCTACTAATTAAGTTACAACAAATCGAATACAATGTAAATAAAACGCACTTGGAATGATTTTTAAGAAACTATTTTCATGTCAAGAAAATAGCCCATGTTTTGGTATCACAATAAATCTTAACCTAAGCTTAACGTAGTGATCTTAATCTTATGACCCGTGGTGGGGGTGTGTATGGGTGTGTGGTTAGCCCAAGTGTGGCGGTGTGGCAGGCCACATGTAAACACAGCCAACAGCTGGTGTAAAGGGGGATAAACAAGAGATTAGACGATAATTAAACCTAAGAGTTATGGTTCCTTGTATTACTTTTTTTTTTTCTTCTTACCAATCTGCCAGGAAAAATACGGTTGAATACAAGACATTGCTTTTTAAGCAGTTGGGGGCTAAGGTCCATGGGGAATGTTAGGGTTAGAGTTAGGACTGGGTTAGAGTTAAAAGTCAGTGCAAGTTTTCAGCCGCTGGGTAAGGTTGAGGTAAGGATTGAGAGTTAGGGTTAGGGGTCATTCATAAATGACGTCAAGATTTTTTTTGACGATTATTACCTCCCCCCTTCCCTCCCCTCCGTTACTCATCGTCACAAAAAGTCAGATATCTCCTTTAATGACATCACACCTCAGCCTACAACCCCTTTCAAAACTGCATTTTTTTAAAACATCAATTTCTTTCTAAAATTTTGACTGAATATATTTCTATTACAGTTTACGAAAATAATTTTGTTTTTAAAACGCAAAATAACAGCTAATACTAAATTTCTAACATTAATTTTGGTTAATGCACTATCTAAACCCCCCCCCCCCTTACCCCCCACCACATTACACATCGTCACAAAGTTACGAGAACACCCCTCCACCCTAGGATTGACGTAATTTATGGACGACTCTTAGTGATTTGGTTAAGGTCAATGTATACGGTTAGGATAGATTTAATGATAGGGTTAATGATAAGGTTATCGATAAGGTTAACGATAAGGCTAATGCTAGGACTAAAGACAAAGACTAATGCTCCGGGTTCCACTAATGAGAGATGTCAACAGTTCCAGCTTCATTAATTACAAGGTCTAATTTCTTCTTCACTCACATGTAAGAAGCGAAAGGGGACATAATTAAAGGGAAACAACTGAGATCGATGTTTGGAAATGTGGAGTTTAAAAAACAAACAAACCAGGCACCACGCCAGCTCCTACATGAGATTCCTGGTTCACTAGTTTGTTTGAGACTCCATAAGTGTTTTGTGACCCTCTCAAGGTGGACTCAAATATTTTGGATTAACCCTTTCAAACCCACACATCTAAAATATCAAGCTTTCAAGTCTAAACGCCTTAAATATCATCCAACACCCCTGAACTAAACATCACCCCCAACTCTGAACTAAATATCACACCCGCCCTTGAAGTAAATATCACCCCGACCCATTAACTAAATATCACCCGCACCCCTTGAAGTAAATATAACCCCCCACCCCTGCAGTAAATATCACCCCCCACCCCTGCAGTAAATATCACCCCCCACCCCTGCAGTAAATATCACCCCCCACCCCTGCAGTAAATATCACCCCCACCCCTGCAGTAAATATCACCCCCACCCCTGCAGTAAATATCACCCCCACCCCTGCAGTAAATATCACCCCCACCCCTGCAGTAAATATCACCCCCACCCCTGCAGTAAATATCACCCCCACCCCTGCAGTAAATATCACCCCCACCCCTGCAGTATATATAACCCCCACCCCTGCAGTAAATATCACCCCCACCCCTGCAGTAAATATCACCCCCACCCCTGCAGTAAATATCACCCCCCACCCCTGCAGTAAATATCACCCCCCCACCCCTGCAGTAAATATCACCCCCACCCCTGCAGTAAATATCACCCCCACCCCTGCAGTAAATATCACCCCCACCCCTGCAGTAAATATCACCCCCACCCCTGCAGTAAATATCACCCCCACCCTGAACTACATACCCAAGCAACTTAGCCTTGAGATATCACGTGACTAGCGTACACAAGACGGACAGTTCTAGACTGTGGGTCGTTGGTCTGTGTAAATGGGTTTCTTTGATTAGGTCAATTTTTCAAAGGAAAACTTCGGGGGAACTACTTCCATGGTAACATTTGTTGAACATCAAACCGCTAAAACTAGTTTTGGTCGAATTTTTAGATAATATAACATTGTCAAGTACTGTAAAATGTACATATCCAACCCTTCATAGGAACCTTATACTCCAACCCAACATGACAACCTCATACTCCAACCCAAACATGACAACCTTATACTCCAACCCAAACATGACAACCTTATACTCCAACCCCAAATAACAACCTTATACTCCAACCCAATATAACAAACTTATACTCCAACCCAATATCACAACCTTATACTCCAACCCAATATAACAACCTTATACTCCAACCCAATATAACAACCTTATACTCCAACCCAAACATGACAACCTTATATTCAAACCCAACATAACAACCTTATACTCCAACCCAAACATGACAACCTTATATTCAAACCCAAACATGACAACCTTATACTCCAACCCAAACATGACAACCTTATATTCAAACCCAAAATGACAACCTTATACTCCAACCCAATATAACAACCTTATACTCCAACCAAACATGACAAACTTATACTCCAAACCAATATAACAACCTTATACTCCAACCCAAACATGACAACCTTATACTCCAACCCAATATAACAACCTTATACTCCAACCCAAACATGACAACCTTATACTCCAACCCAATATAACAACCTTATACTCCAACCCAATATAACAACCTTATACTCCAACCCAAACATGACAACCTTATACTCCAACCCAATATAACAACCTTATACTCCAACCCAATATAACAACCTTATACTCCAACCAAACATGACAACCTTATACTCCAACCCAATATAACAACCTTATACTCCAACCCAATATAACAACCTTATACTCCAACCAAACATGACAACCTTATACTCCAACCCAATATAACAACCTTATACTCCAACCCAATATAACAACCTTATACTCCAACCCAATATAACAAACTTATACTCCAACCAAACATGACAACCTTATACTCCAACCCAATATAATAACCTTATACTCCAACCCAATATAACAACCTTATACTCCAACCCAATATAACAACCTTATACTCCAACCCAATATAACAACCTTATACTTCAACCAAACATGACAACCTTATACTCCAACCCAATATAATAACCTTATACTCCAACCCAATATAACAACCTTATACTCCAACCCAATATAACAACCTTATACTCCAACCCAAACATGACAACCTTATACTCCAACCCAATATAACAACCTTATACTCCAACCCAATATAACAACCTTATACTCCAACCCAATATAACAACCATATACTCCAACCCAAACATGACAACCTTATACTCCAACCCAATATAACAACCTTATACTCCAACCCAACATCACAACCTTATACTCCAACCCAATATAACAACCTTATACTCCAACCCAATATAACAACCTTATACTCCAACCAAACATGACAACCTTATACTCCAACCCAATATAATAACCTTATACTCCAACCCAATATAACAACCTTATACTCCAACCCAATATA